GTTCCCACTCGTTCCTCCTCCTCCTCCTCCTGCCTGCCTGCCTAGCCTTTCACTAAGGACATCCATCACCTGCACGATACCCTGCACTTGCTGCTTACCCCGGTCGTCTATTGCGGGCCTGGCTCTCCCACACACTATCACCTTGCAGAGTGCCAGAGTGCACCATAACCTCTTGCCCACCTGGCAGCGTGCCCACCTGAAAGGTACCTTAATGTAAGGTAGGAGGTGAGGTGCCCTCTGTCTGCTTTGGTCTTTTCTGGTCTCCTACACCTCTCCTACACTCCCGAAATTCCTTCCTCTCTTCTCTTCTTTCCGTCCTCTCTCTCCTTCGGCCCTGCCTGCCCATCTTTCGTCGCGCTTCCCGACGTCTTTTTTCTTGTCTCGTCTGTTCTACTGCATCTCAAGGCTATTTCGCCTGTAATAATCTCCCACCCTCATTTCATCGTCCCTTGCGACGTTTCAACCCTTTTCCTTTATTCTCATTCTTCATCATTGCCAACATCTTTTATCATTATAGTATCTCAAGCAACACCTCGCCTCAGGCAATCACTCGCTCATTTCACACAATCTTGGTCGCCGCGACCACTCCACACGCAAGCCAAGGACGGAAAATCGGTCACGCCACACGTCATCTCCATCTCCGACATTCTCTCACTTACTAGACATTCGTACACCTTAATGAAGAGAAGCGGCCTTCCCATGCTCGTTGAGTTTTCCCATCTCGGCCAACCCACTCAAGTCAAAACAATACAGAACTTCTCTTGCTCAACGACGATACCAGACGTATCCGACTCCACCAAGCCAACCCCGACGCAATCTACGGAAAAAAAACAACACAAAAAAGAACACAACGCATGTTGACCGTCCCGAGCTACAAGTCCTCACCTTCGAACACGCAAATTTTCTCCACGGCGGTGCACGACCTCGACTGCCGGAATCCGTAATATCCACCTCAATTGTGAATATTCCTCACTGTACTTGATTCGAGATAGCTAGAGCACAGACCGGTCCGGTGCCCGTCGCATTTGTCGCCGTAGCCGTGCTGGTCTCGGCAAGTCAGCCCGCTCCGAGAAACCGTTTGCGCTCGGCCCCCGCCTTCTCCCGCCTTCGTCTTATCCCCCGTTAAGCTTGGGTGCCACTCGCACTCCATGGCCCGGATACCCCACGCCGACCAAGACTACCTGCCTCGACGTTTGCGCTCATCTGCGAAAGCCACCAGTTTCTTCATTCACCCGTAGCGCCCCACGGAGCATGTCCGGGTCCGGGTCTGGGAGCTCCTCCCGGGGAAGCCCCTCCCGGTCCCAACGGAGACCCTTGCACGAACGCTCCAATTCGCAGTCTAATTCCTTGGCTATCCGCATCGTTCCCTACAGCCCGCCTCGTCCAAGCGACAAAAACCGAGACTCTACCGCATCGGCTTCATCATCACGCACCCCGACATCGACGACCGCACTACTATCTCCCAATCCGTCAGGATACGACCACCACAGCTATTCCTGGACCGACGACCGCACCGCCAGCCATGCCAGCGACCGCTACTCCCACAGACGATCCCATTCTTCCAGCACACGAACGTCAGTGCTGTCACCAGCCTCTTCCACCTTCCCATTGGTGAGCGCCAAGGATAGCGGTGTTTCAGGGTCGAAACTGCGATCCGACACCTTCTCCGGCGACGAATCGTCCCCCACCACCCCTGTCCCTACCACTCCACCACATCAGACCGATATTTCCCACGTTAATGCACGATCCCGGTCCACCCAACGCACCGCCGACAACGAGCCTGTCACACCCTCAGCGAAGCGCCCCTTGTCCCGCCGTCGCAATCTCATCACTCTCAACGCCGATGGCAAGACCTTCTCCCTTTTACCTCAGGGGCAGCGGGCCGGAAACCAAGGAGACCATGTCTCCAGCACCGCCCCAAGGTTATCGCTCTCTACTACGGCCTCGCATGAGCGCCTGTCGGACGCCTTCAGTGAAAATCATCCCAGCTCAACCGTGACTTCCTTTCCGGATCAAAGCTTCGCATCCACCTTGACCCCAGCATCCTCGACCACGCAATTAGCAGGTGATTCTCTTACTAGCACAGCCGGGTCTTCGTCGTCTCCTTGGAACTATCGAATGGTCGGCGGCCTACGCAAGGTTCCCAATACACCCGATCTCAAGCAGAAGCAAAAGTCGACGTTACTCTACCCAGAGCTCGATTCTACCCCGTCTTACCCGTCATCCCCGTCAGGCTCTCGACTCGCGCCGCTGCCAGAGGCACCTACCGCTGATTCGTCTGAATCTTCCGACCCCCACGATTTGCAGCCTAAATCCTCCTTTCAATCATCTATCACTGCGTCCACGACTTCAGAGAAGACCAACTACAAAGTCTACGGCTTCAATTCACCCCCAGTGACCGACACCGAGAGCGTTCTACATGCACCGTCGACGACCTCAGATACGACAAACTATAAGGTGTTCGGTTCTAGCTCATCTTCTTCGCCCGAGCGAGAGGAGTCTTTACAACCGCCATTATCGAGCCATTCCAACTACGTAGTTCTCGGCCAGTCTTCACCTCCAGAGCCATCTTCTGCCGAGAGAAGTCCCCCGAAGACGGCCGACAGCGAGCAAAACTACGTCGTGCTCGGCGCATCGTCCCCGGCACCATCATCCGTGGCCTCTGGCCGCCGTTCCCGAATCAGACCTGAGTTCTCGCAGGAAAGCCTTTTGGTGGCCCCGCTGAAACCCTACAAGGCGAAGAAGAGGTCCAACGAAAGATTTGGGTACTACAAGTCGCGTTCTAGAGATTCTTTGCGCCGTGCAGCGTCGGTGAAGTCGATTTCAGGCTCCCTCACCCTCGAAGCAGCGCAGAGCTTTCTCGCCTCTCCTGCTGCATTTTACCGGTCCCGTGTTCTGGCCAGCCAGCCAGGTCGGCAGCCTGACGCGCAAGCTGCGCCAACGCTACCCGCGCCCATTGTCGTTTCTGCTGAATCCCACATGAACACCCATCCTCACCAATGGAGCTCACAACTGTCCACCGTTATCTCGGAGAGTGAGGGGGGCAGCGAGCCTCCATCACGATCCGTGTCCCCATGGTCTGTGCCTGGGAGACGGGGTAGCATACCTTTAAGCAGCCATAGCCGGCAGATGCTCAGTATTTCGTCATCGCTAGCTGCCAACGAAGAGCGCTCACTTTCTCACTCGAGATCCTTCACGGATTCTCTCGAACGCCCTCAAGCTACACAAAGCAGAGGGAACACGCTTCGTCTGGTTAGCGATCGAGACGAACATGGCGACGGTCTGGCAGAGCTGAGCCAGCTTCATCAACGTCCTTCGCGGACCGGCCTTTCAAGCTTCTTCTCGGGTTCCTCCTCGGATCGGAACCTTCACTCCTCAAGTAGTTCCCGTGCCAACAGTCTCAACTCGGCGTCCATCCCAGCTTGGGCTAAGTAAGTCAACCCGACATCCTGCAGAAAGCAGTGTAACGCCAGAATTTGGAACTTGTGCTCACTTGGCCGATTACTTGCAGATTCTATTATGGAAGTGGGGAACGTCGATTCCTCGCCAGCTCGGGAGACTCGATGATGTCGGTCCCGAACGATAGCCGGCCACCAAGCTCGTTCCAAAGCAGTTCCCCCAGTGTTGAACAGCTCGCCATGAACATCTACAGTCCCAGACGGCGGCCAAGGGAGGTAAATCATGCCAACCCTCGCCCATTGTCAGATGTCGGCTCCATGGAAATCAACCAAGCTCCGTTGACGGACAATCGGATGCGCAGCGGGTTACGGAAGAAGACCTCTAGCATCTGGTCACCCCACTTGCGGCGCGATCAGAGGGCTGGTCGTCACAGTATCTGGGAGCCACCTTCTATGACGTGGTCAAGCGAGACAAGCATGCTCGGGAAGCGGAACGTCCAAGTTGCTTTCTTCGCTCTGGGATTCATTTTCCCATTCGGTGAGGCAGTCCCATTTATCCGTGCTATATTGACGTGGCTAACCTGGGCCAGCATGGATGATCGCTGCCTTCCTCCCGCTCCCACCGGACCCTCAAGCTGAGATGGCCGAGCGCGACCCTAGATCAAGCCCGTTGGACGAAGAACGAGACCTGCCTCGACGGCTTGCAGCAGTTGACGAGACCCTTTTCCAAAGCGCCCGATGGTGGCGTGCACTTAATCGGTACATGTCCGTCATCGGTCTTTTGGTCGTCGGCGCCATTGCGGCTCTCGTCGTCGTCGGCGTGAAGCAAGGCTGGGGACAAATGGCGTAGCCGCCTCTTCCCTGCCGTCTCCTTTCTAACTGTATTCACTACCTCAAACAAGGGGTCTGGTGCTCGAACACGCCGAGGTACACAGCATTCGACCTCGGCACCAAATGAGTATCAATCAAAAGCATCATTGACCGTCGAAATTCAGCGCATCGGTATCACGATTGGGGTAACGACTTACTCCCCTTACGAATCCACGACATTAGTTATATTCTTTTCTCATATAGACGCATGCACATACGAAGTTTCCTCGGCAGCCGACCATTCGGCAAACACTGCCATCTAGTCTAATGGCTCCGCACGACGATACTTGCTGGCCATACATAGTCCGCTGTAATTGTACACCTGGCCAAACCGGGCCGCACTCATGATGATAATTTGATGGCATTTCCTTTTGATTTTCTCGTTGGGCGACTAGGATTGCTTGACGATACCCCCCCTTGGCTTTGCACGGGAGTCAACATGCCGCGATTGGTGTTGGGAAATTCGAGACGACTGAGCCTGACTGTTACGTACTGTTACTATTGTGGGATATAGACATCATATTATAATGGTTTAGTTTTAGATCTGCATAGCTTGCAATGTCTAATGACCTGCCTCTAGAGGCTTCTTCTAACCTATGCCTCACCCGTCTCACAGTTGTGCGTGACGGTAGCTCTTCGTCCATTATCGCTGTGTCAAGTGCGCGGATACAAGGGCCTTTCGATGGAGATAGGAACAATGCCGTAGAACAAATGACACCCTTATTCAAGTCTTCAAGCAGCCTTGCTTCTTTGTCTAGCTTCCACCTCAGCCTTGATCTCCTCCATAGCCTCGTCGATCTCTCGTTGAAGATCCGGCGACACGCCCAAGACTGGTTCTCGGCCTGAAAGACTATCTTGGCTCAACGTGCGAGTAAGCCTAGCGCCCCCTTTGCCTTGACGTGCCTCGAGTTGCTTCCGAAGCACCTGCTTTGCTGGAGAGGCGAAGAAGGCCATGGAGAGCACAGTGCCGACAATGGTATAGAAGTAGACACGAGCCCACACCTGGACCGAGCCGGAGAACTCGAGAACAAGAAAAGGGCTGACAACAAAGGACATGCCAATTTGAGTGACGAAGAGTGAGAGGACGTCGTAGTAGACCTTATTGGGAGTTGGCGCACCGCTATTGGCGTCGAGGAAGAAAGCACGAAAATAGCGGCGATAATCTGTCACAATTGTCAATACATCACGGCATTCGTGGAAGCTCGCTGGGCGATGGGCCAAAGGTGCACTTACTCTTGGCTACAGTTTGGATGAAGCTGGCGAGGATGAAGCTCATATAATACCCGGGATAAAAGCCGTGCCAAAGAGCGCTGGTGCTGAACGTGAGAAGGCTTGCGCGGAAACCTGGTTTTTTTCCAATGGGCGTAACCCGAAGGTACACATAGTTCCTCAGCCAATTGTTGGTATTGATATTCCAGTTGCCTAGGTAGGCGCGCGTGTTTTGGGCTGTCTCGACACCCCAAGGGTTGATGTTTTGCAATCTGTTCCACGACACTTTACCGGTGACATGATCGACACCGTTGTAGCCCAGGCCAGCCAAGATACAAGCGCCCTCAGTCAAGCACCAGACTCCGTAGTATTTCAAACGGGCGGTAAACCCGACCATGTGAAGAATCCAGACCCTGTGGAAAAACCCATGATTCATGTACGAAGGGCTCGTCAAGTAGGTGATAGGGTAGTAACCGGACAGAACCATGAAAAGAGAAATCCAGCCCAGGCCGCTAGCAGCTTTCAAAGTAGCGGGTGTGCCACTGCGAGGGATCTTCCTCTTCTTCCTAACAGGAGGCTTCTTTGAGGGGTCGACCTTGGCCGGAAGGTCAAACATTGTGGTGTCTAACCATTTGCGATAGTCGGTGTAGTCGAAAGCAGGTCCGGCAAAGAGCGAAGGAAAGAAGAGGACGTAGCCAGCGTAGTCCATGATACTTGGAAGTTCGATCAACCTCCTCTCTTTCTGGTATTCAGACACCTGGTCGTCTGGTAGCTGGCCATCAGCGACATTCCAGCAGAAACCGCTAAGCTTCATCAGAAGCACCATCTGAGCGCCAGTAATATCGATGGAAGACGGGCTGTTGGCCACTTGACGAGCGATGTGACTTATGGACATGTGGCCCATGAGAAAAGTGAAACCGACCCATGGCATGAATGGGCTAGTGCGCAGATACTTTGCGATGCTGTAGATGCCGGCAGAGGCTATAGCCAGGGTGCGCACTCCATCCCATAAGTCGAAAAGGCCGACTAGGTAGAAAGTGGAGGTACTATTCAAGAGCCGCGGTGTCAGTGACAAGGCGAATAGCATGACAAATGGGCCAGCATGGGTAACTGCCGAAAGCATACCTTATTATGAAGAGGTTTTTGAGGTCAGGCCTAGAGTCGGGAACTCGTTTGAGCAAGCCGGCTAGAGGGTATGATATGAGGAATGAGAAGACGAGCTTGACTATGAGAAACATGGTGTCAGCGCTGGTGCTCGGTTGGGGACGAGGCTTCGTAGAGCTTCGCCGTGGAGTCGAGCTTGCGGGGGGGACCGACGTTCGTCTGGAGATGCGCCGAGGCGTGAAGCGAGAAGCTCGAAAGCTGTAGAGTCAAGCAACAAATTAGTAAGAGAAGCCGAAGTAGTGAAATAGACAAAATAGCAACAATAAAAAGCAAAAAAATTCGTTGAGGGTGCCTATAGCTCACGCTTATGGATGAAGGGTAACATGCTGGCTGCCACTGCTACTTATCGAAGAATGGGTAGGCTCAGCAACAATAGGAAGGTGCAAGGCTGAGTTGCAACGAAAAATATGTCGAGGAAATGCTCAATCCATAGCTCCTGTGAGACGGCGAAAAGGAGAGGCGAAAAACCGAGGAGCGGAGGCTCGGAGAGATAGACCTTACGCCGAGAAAAATGAGCGATGGATTGGGGGTTTGTTAAATGAGGTTTTTCGGTTTGGGTGATATACGACGGGATCATGTGGCGGCGTGCCAACTTCGGATGACGGGACGGGAGCTAAAAACAGGGAGGAGACAGCTAGGTGCGGCGATGCAGAAGCAGTTGCGGATCATCTTAAAAAGGAAAAAGAAGAAGAGTTTCGCGTGACAACTGAAATAGCACGTGGACCGGTTGGCGATGGGCCATTCTCAGGTCGCGAGGGCCAAGGGGGGGGATGGTGGAGGCGTCCCTTAGCTCGCTCCCCCACCAACTGGCCCCCAAAAATTAAGTTGGGTAAAAAGGAGCAAAAAGGAAAAGATCGTCAGCTGGTGGAAAACATCTACGTCTATCTAGCACCTAACAGTTTTACTCATCAAATCCTAAATATATCCTTAAGTAATTATAAATGTATATTTAAAATTAAATTAAGTATTCTAAATATTTTTAAATTAAAAATTAATTATATTTACTTTTTAAAAATTCTTCTAATTAAGTGCTTAAACATTTGTTATTATGTATTTACAGTACTAGATAAGTATTAGCCTAAAAGCTCTGAGACAGTCACTTATTGAGACTAAGTTAAGTAGAGTTTACGTGAAGGAACATCATGAGTCTGGTCGGGATGCATCTGCCACCTGCCACCTGCCACATGCCACATTGCCACATGCCTCAGCTGCCCACCTCAAGGAGAGTAGCAACGTCACTTGGAGTGGAGTAAGGTATTTAGCTGATCTGCTTTCTGGGCTCTCGTCTGTCAGGTGCCTCTAGCGGCAGCTTCTCCCAGGTCAGGTATTTCGGCTCAGGCTAACCCCACGTGCATCACAAACAATCTCTATAGGGGGAAACGCCAATATTTCCTTCCTCCCCTTAGGTGTGCTAGTAACTTGAGATAAGGTCAGGTACGGATACCTCACTCAAGCCATCGAAGACAGGCACATCAATGCTCCGGATTTTCTCTCCTTTCTGAAAGTTTGTATACCTTACCTTTGTCTTATGGCACATGAAGCAAGCAGCCCAGCTCCTATTTTTTGACGTGGATACCTCGGTTGCCAGCGTCGCAACTATCTTTCTTCGTCATCTCGCTGGGGCGCATCGGAGAATTCCCAGCGTCTCAACCAAACTCACCGCCACATCTTGTTGAACTGAATTGCGTTGAACTGGATCGCAGACTTGTCGTCCCCTCCCAACCCCCGAATAACAGGGTGGCGATCAAAGCATGTGTAGGTATGTGTAGAATAAGAGTCATGGCATTACCGCATTGCTACATCGTCCCGGGCAGTGTACTATCGTCACACATTCATTTCGTCAGCAAACCAAAGCAAACGAAATGCAAAAGAAGTGTAACAGTATTCCAACGCGCCCAATCATGTCTTATCATCTCGTGCTTCTCTTCATCCCGCTTTGCCATACATGCCCCGAGCTTTAGAATGCTTTGCGGCACAAAATTACCTGTCTATTTGGATCTCAAAAGCAGAACGAAGCCGATCCGGGCCAAATTCACACACTATTGCACCCTCGGCCACCGCTCCCGTCAGCGTACCGCCGACTCAAGGTCTCGGCGCGACAAGCCACGCCCAAAACTTGTCTCTAGTCCCACCACCTTTTCATACCGGCAGCCATTACTTGTTCGCATCCCTATTACTCTGCGAGCTCGCGCTCATGGGCTGTGTCGTCGGCAGTGACATCTTTGAAGCCTCCGTCTGTCGGATCCTTGCCCATGCATAGACAATTCCGCTGATGAAGCCAACAACAATGGCTGACACGCTGCCAAACGTGACCGGGGCATCGAAGAAGACGAGACCACTGATGGCGATGGGAAGCTTGTTGAGTGCGCCAACTACAGAGTACGTCGTCGACGACGTCACACGGATGCACCATGCAGAGCAGTACGATATGAAGATGGCGCAGAGTCCCGAGTAGATCATGCCGACAAACAGGCTGTTGCGCGACTCGGCGGGGAAATTCTTCTCGATGTTGGCCGATGACCAGTCCTCGGCAAGGAGGGTACAGACGATCAGGACAGGAATTGTCAACAGGTTGTTGTAGAACATGGCTGTATCACACAGTCGTCAGATGAGTTCTCCTGATCGCGGGGCAACGTAAAACCGTTCGTAGTAACTCACTATCCCAGTCCTTGAAGTTCATTTTCTTGATGACCTTGCGCATGCCTAGCACGTAGGCTGCGGTGCAGCAAACGTTCATGCCCATCCATGCGTACCCGGCATTCAAGGTCGAAACGGCGACAGACGCTTCGGCAGACTGCGAACCACCTCCAAGGGCGTGCTGGACATCAGCCCAAGCGGCAACAACGGAACTGAGAACCATCAAGCCGAAAGAGAGAAGGGCAAGGGGGCTGACACTGCCGCCGAACCACAAGACTTCGCCGTACGCGATGACAATGATCGTCAGGTTCTTGAAGATGGTGTAGACGGGCACGGAAAGGAATTGCAGGGCTTTGGTGCCCGTGTAAATCATGCCGACCAAAAGGAGTGCGATAGGAAACCCTACACTTTGTTAGCTCCGGTCGATGACTGTGACACAGGAACATAATCAACATTTCTTAGCCTTGTCAGTGTCAAATGGGGCCAGGTTTGTGATCATTCCAAGGTTCTTGCAGACGATGATGGTAAGAATGCATACGATGGACTGGAGATGGCGGAGGTGAGTTAGAAGAGACCTGGACCGTGGGTTTGCTTGACGTCGAACGCACCTGGACAGCAAGGTATAGAAAGTTTAAGTTCCAGAACTGGCCGGAGACCACGTACTTGTTGACGACTGTCATGCTGATGGAGGAGAAGCAGTAGGCCATAATGGCAGCGCCGGGGCTGTTGTCGATTTTGCTAATGGGCGAACCGAGAGCAGGACGCGGCCTCGGAGGAGGTCGAGCCAAAAAGCCATCCTTTTCTCCAAACGACTCGGAGGGACGGAGCTCGTAATCCTCGTTCTTCTTGTCCGACATGATGGCGATTGGTATACACTCGTCTAAGCGGTATGTGAGGTTTGGCAGTAGAAGCAAGCTGGCTTCAGCGATGTTCGGCCAAGGACACGGCCTCGGAGCTTGCAAATGCGCCGGGGTTCGGTGGTATGGCGACTCGTGCACAATCAGTCCGTCTCACGAACTCGTTGACGTAGGAGGGAGCGACGGATGGATCGAGTCGTCGTTGTTGTCCTCCACGCTTCGTTGTTTTTCGGTCGCGATGGTCTGGCTATAGGGAAAGCGAAAGTTTGTTGCAGACCAAGGGCCAAGAGTGGAAACGGAGGTTAAGGGTTAAGGGGGTCAAATGCTCTCGAGCATTAGAACGGACGGGACGGGAACGCAGGGGAAAACGCGTCCGCCTATCATGGGTCACGGAATTTCATGTCAGATTAAAATACTTAGCGCTTTCTACAGGCCAGGTGGAGAAATTTTGGCACTCATGGCACGTAAGCTCCCGCCAAGCCATAACCACAGTGCCACAGAACCAAGCTGAGTAAGAAGGGATGAATGCAAGGGGCCACTGGCACTGGCCCCCGGACACAATCCAAGTCGACCCTCCCTGGCCTATGATTATATAAGCCAACCTGTTGCCTTGTCTTTGTGTACGCCAATCTCTTCGCCTTGTTATATTTCAAAACGTTATCCAGCCCGATGTCCTCATAACAGCCGGCCTCTACGCCGTCCCCTGGCTAGGCGCATCCTGCCCAGAGTCAACCATGCTTTCATCTTGATCTGCCCGAGCCTCCTTTCCTTCCCCTTCATCAGGCGGAGCGGGAAAATTCAGATGTTTCCAATCCTCTAGTTCTTCGGTGACAGATCGCAGCCTATCACGGATGCTCTCTATTGCATAGCTTCCTAGGAGTAACCGCAACGGGGGGTACGAGCAGTGAGCTAACTGCCAGACAAGCTCTGCGCACTTGACGGCGCTCGTCGGCTGCCGATCACCGAGCCACTGAACCATCCTTTTGGCATGCAATGCTGGTGATGTGGCCTGGGCGTAGGCATCGCTCGCAGGTTGGATGAGAAAATGGCCCCAGGTTGGCAACGGCGTCGCCAGGGTATCCGGTTCATCCCTTCGAACGAAACCTGGCTCTACTAGTGTTGCCTTGACGTTGAATGAGTCTGTCTCGTAGAGCATGGCTTCGATGAGTCCCTCGACGGCGTACTTGGTAGCACAATAGGGGCCCAGACCTGGGACGCCCAGAGCTCCCGACGTCGAGCTGAAGATGAGATAGCGGCCGCCGTTCTGTTGGCGAAAGTAGGGTAGGCTGGCCTGGATAATGTTCAGAGTGCCCATGAAGTTCGTCTCGAACTGGTTACGTATTTCGTGCTCGTCCTGATCCTCACATGCGCCAATAACGCCATAGCCAGAACAGTTGGCGACAACGTCGAATCGCTGGAACCGCTCCAAGGTCCGTTCAATGACCCGCGCTACCGAGTCTCTCGCCCGAACATCACACAACATCCCCAGGCAATTGTCATTGTCTTGCTGTGCTACCATGTCTTCGGGGGTCGTCTCAAAGACGCGGCCAACAGAAGTGACAAGATCCCCCTTGGACAAAGCGGATTTGACGAGAGATCTACCCATGTGACCGGTTCCACCGAATACCTGCACAAGAGGTGCTTAGTCAAACATCTCAAAGCAAGATGAGGGTGCCTCATCACTTACTACCCAGACCAGCTGCTTTCTCTCGCCATCAAATTGTGGCGGATCACAGCTAGCTGGAAGTTGAAGCTTCGCCCTTGACGGCCCGTCGGCGGGAGTTGCGCTGTTTTCACTACAAAAGTCCATAGCGCCAGTATTACGACCAATGGGTGGAATTTGCGGACTATGCGCAACTCAACAGATAGGCTGCTGGCTGTACAGCAGTTGGTAGGGAAGCAGTCTCCAAAGGCGACGGCGGCGACTGCAAACTGAGCCCAGGAAGGGGGCTACCGGACGCACTTTAGATAGTCAGATGCATGGGAAGGCGACGGGAAAATGCTGGCGGCTTTCGTCAATGCAGATAGTGGTACTAAAAAGAGTCAGGTAAGAAACACGAAATTCCAACTTGCTCTGTGCAACCGCATGTAAGGTGATGTGAAGCGCGAAAGTAACAGACGGGTGGCCTTGGGTATGGCCTACCGCGTGGCGGCAGATGACGGATGTTCCTGGACAAGGCACATTTGCCTGCTTCGCTGACGCCGAGGCCGATGAAGACGGGTGTTGGAGGCCGCGTGGTGACCGGTGCTAATTGAAGCCAACAACTGCGGTATTAGGTGTACCCCACTTCCCCATGCCCGCTAGCCTCGAAGAGTATCCTGATAAATGCATAAGTGTAGAAGAAGTTGTCCATGACTCTAAAATTAGGTGCTTAGCCTTTCAGGCCTGTTTCGGCGGTGGAAGAGTCAGCCACGGACAAAGAGCCTATCGCCTCCTCATGTCACATGAGCCACCGACACTCATCATTCTTTGCCGGCCCCAGCGGAGTTGAGAGCGCCGACTGCGTCGGTCGAGTAGATGCTTCACCTTGGTCTACTTACTCACAGAGTTGGGAGTCTAATGAGGTAGCCAATGGAAGTATCTTGGTTCGATGGAGTATTCACATTGTCACGCCTCATATACACAGTATTCTGTGGAGACACAGGTTCAGCAACAACACAACATATCTGGTATGAGTATTGCAAACGCTCATTACAACTTCGTCGGGTGTAGATGATGGGATGATTGTTGCCAACCATACCTCCTGTCTGCTAAGCTGTAAATTGATTATAAGGATCCTGGCTGTAGAGATTTTAGGATTCAGAAACTGATCAGGTACGTTCAAAGAAGAGTATTCATGATACTCAAAAGGATGTTCAGAATGCAAAGGATCTGAGAAGAACTGGCATAGGGCGTCTCTACAGTTCTATCCGCTTTCCCATCTCGAGCCTACTGACTCTCCAGCAAGTACCTTGTTCATGGACAGACTCTATTTGCCTATGCTGACACGCCGTTGTGAAGGTATTGCTGAACGTACTCTTTCCTGTGTGGGTTCACATCAAGATCTTGCGTTCTGTTCAAAGGAGTCCACTTCGGCTCGTCTTTGAAGAGCCTCATCGCCTTGATATACTGGTATTTGTCAGCAGCTGCACTATATGTGGACACATGGGTATCAATTACATTGGACTCATCGGTTGTGAACCTGTGGTAAATGCCGGGAGGCAGGATGATTAAGTCGTCCTGTCAGTGGTCAGTCGGCCATGGCGCCATCTACTGCATAATAGCATTATTACCTTCTCAACACGGATACGAACCCATGCGTCATCAGCGCTTCTCACATCAAAGAAACCCTGCCCGTCGCGAACGTAACGAATCTCCTCGTCCTCATGCAAGTGCTCGTGGAAGAATGATTTGACCTTCTCCTCATAGATATCGCCCATCTTCTCTGGCGACACTATAATCTCATCTCTGTTTCGGTATCCGCGGTCGGATGCTAGCTGATTGACGCCGTCCAGGTCAGGGATTTGGTGGTAAAACACACCGAGCTTCTTCAGGTCTTCGACGGTAACCTCCTTGCCAGAGTCGTGTGCCAGGCGCTGGTCACCCTATTGCGACATAGACGGTCAGTGAAGAGCTACAACCAAGGCTAAAGGATTTGACCGATCTATAGGGTTCAAAGAATCGCCTCTTCTCCACTCACATCAAGGCCGTCGTACCAGTAAGCCTTCATGTTGGTCGGTTGACAGCTTGTCGCAAAACCAATAGTGATATGTATACGAGACGGAGAGACTTTGCGCGTCTCTGTGAAGTGGCGCTGTAAAAAGACTGCTTTACAAGATCCCGAGAAATCTATTACCAAGAGATTTTATCGTTGGTAATAATTTCCTGTTGTTCGTCCGGATGTTCAATGGGTTTGAGGCAAGAATGAGGTGGACTTTTTGTGTTTCAAATGACGCAATTGGCTCTGAAAGTGGGGTCATCAGAAGAAATACCTTAAGGTACCACGTCGTCCGTCCACCAGCACGTGGGGTCGCAGTTCCGGCCGGACCCCACCCTCAGCGCAGCAACCTCTTATGAGTGCCTGGCCATGAAGAGAGCCAGCTCAATTTAGTGCATTAGCTAAGGTATAATAACTCTTTCTCGTTTGTATCAGTCCGTACAAGGACAGAAAACATCAGAGCAGAACAATGTATTGCCCAGACACAGCAAGATGCAAGTTGCAAAGAGAAAGCCGATGGCCGTACATGAGGTAAAATGACATATGCTTTCTTCTATTCAGCTGCAAACCATGGCATACGTGGATGTCAGCTTTGAGGTATCTATGCTTCCTGGCAAATTCGAGCCAAGGCGCTTTGTCGAAGATGACAATGCATGGATACAAGTAAAGATGCCGCCAGACGGCGATGTTGATGCCTCGGCGCCAAGGACCATGCAAACACTGCTAATTCCAACAACTTTTTCTGTTTTGTATTTGCACTACAATAGACTCGCCCGATATGTCCTGTCATCGGACATCGGCAGCGAGCTCCGGCCCCCCGGCAATGGCAATCTCGTTGTTGATGCCGTCCGCCGTCTCCTCCGCCGGCCGTCTCTCGAAAAGCCGCCTCCACCAACTTGGAGGATCGAACGGGCGCGACCCGTTGTGCAAAGGTGGGTACACATCGGTGAAAAAGTACCAGATATGCCCGATCACCACGCCCATGATTTCATCCTTTGGAATAGAGCCATGAAGGACCAGGCTGAATGCCATCAGAACCCACGGTAGGTAGGGGGCTGTGAAGACAAGCAGGCCGAGGAAGCTGAGCCTGGTATCCGGGTTACGCCGTGACCAAATGTAGACGAGTGTTGACGAGAGTGGATGGCCCAGGAACGGCATCGAGACCAGTGGCGACAAGAGAAGTAGGCTCGCCATGGAGTAAACAAGCAACCATGAAAAGTGTGCTGGTGAGCGACCCGAGGACTCTTCGAGGAGTCGTGCGTAGCGCTGGAGGAAGTAGACGTGAAATAGTAGATCGAGCGAAAAGGGACCGAAGTAGAGGAATGTTGTTAAAAGACGCCAATACTTTTGAAATATTCAGAGTGGTTAGCAATAGTCCTGGCATATTCGGAGGAGAACTAGACTGTTGAGCGGCTGCCCGCAACTCAGAACAGAGGATTGAGGAATTGTGGACGAACCTGGTACTTGGCGAAGACGGCGCGGAAGCTGTAGAATAACTGGAAGGGAGTGACCATCTGACATTGAACGAGAGCGCTAGTCAGAACGGTAGCGGTCGTCCACCATCTGGTGCATATGGGCATTTCCCAGAACCACGTCTCAAGGGGGAATCGGCCCCCGTCACCCATCATCTGATCCATGCTACGTAGCGAATTGTGCGAATTGTGCTTCAGAGGCAGAATTTTGTGGGTAAAACAGTTGCGCTCATTGCCTGCCGTGTCGGAGCCGCGCAAGAATTGGAGGGTATGAATATCGTCCACGTTAGGGCGGGCGATGCAAATCGTCGGGTATGACGGACGAAACTAGGTCTGCGATGGTTGTAGACAGGGTGAGATAGCTCGAACGGCTGACCACAAGTAAGGACGTAGTTTGATCGGGAATGAATCGTTAGACAAGCCGCCGCCTTGGGTGGTGTCTGGGGTTATAGAAGGTGGCAGCACGACTGATCACCCGGGGGAGGTAGAGATGATGCGGAGAGGTGGCCTCTGGTAATTAGTAGTGTGTGGTAGACAACGGTTGACAGTGACACTTTTTGGGGACAGCTTGGCAACCAATGATGGTGCCTTCCTTACCTTACAAGCACAGGCACTTACTCCGTACAGCACAAAGTTCCCCGCATCAGCCTCACAGTGCCAATTCTACCACGTATCCAGCCCAAGGCACCTTGACCCTGGCAGACTAGAAAGCAAGTGACGCAGTGCGCGTAAAGTGGCCCGGTCCCGGGGTAGCCAGGGGCACGCGTTGAGAAACGCGCGAAACGCGTCTGGATTCAATTTCCCTGAAAATCGCGGGGCTGGTAGTACATTGCGGTTCAACTCAGACTGCCGGTGTATGTATTCGCAGGTGGTTTCCATTTCTTTTGCTGCTCCTTCAACATCATCCCCATCAGTTGTGAACCTGCAAAGTCCAATCGGTTTCTAGCTTGTCAAACCTTTACATAAAGCTCAATTGACCTACTTTATTCTGTCTCTACTGTCGCATTCTCCACCGAAGTATTCGTACGGTCCATTCGTCGCCATATTCTCCGTCGCAACCTCGTCTTCGCTATCGCACTGCCCCGGCTTTCCTTTAGCCACGCAATCCGCTTGCGCCAGGTCACCACGAGGATTTCCTAAGGAGACTTCTATACACTACAGCTCAGCATTTTCCAGCCGTTAGTATGCCCCCGAAAAAGAGACAGTCAGACGCTGCGCGTCGCAAATCGCGACAGAGTGATGTTCAACGTAAGAAATTTGTTGCCCTGATCACATCAGGACAGGTGCTAACGGGGAGCAGCTGGCGACCCGATCCCCAACCGAGGCAAGAGGCGCTATAGACCCGGCACGGTTGCTCTCAGGGAGATCCGAAAATACCAAAACGGCACCGACCTCCTGCTGCGACGCCTTCCCTTCTCTCGCCTCGTACGTCAAAGGCGATCTCCGGCAACACCCGAGAGAATGATATGCTGACGATCCTGACTAGGTGCGCGAAATTGCTGAGTCGGTGAGACCACGGGGCGAAGCTATGCGATGGCAGTCGCAAGCAATACAAGCACTGCAAGAAGCTGCCGAGGCTTTTTTGGTTCACCTCTTCGAAGACACCAACCTCTGCGCGATACACGCCAAGAGAGTTACCATTATGCAAAAGGATATCCAGCTTGCAAGGCGGATACGCGGCGTCTGGGGTGGCCTTGGCTGAGCCTACTACTGCCGACGAGGACTACCAAGCTATGGGGTTTTGTACGGGCGGAGAGGGCCGAGCCAGCCTTCTAAGCAAATACCCAGGTCACCCTCGACGATTTTGCTCGCGGCCATTCGTTTCCTCCACGGGCGCATAGAATCCTTGCTTGGAGGTTCATCATTGCTCCCGCTTCTGTTCCTTTTATATTATTGTTGTACGGATACCCATGTCGGGATGGCGGTTTTCCTTTAGGAGTTTGAGGCGTTGGCGATGTTCATCTATATGACCTGAAATCAGACCGAAAGATGCGCGTAGAATCCCCATTATCTATTGGTATAGAGTCGCGGCGTGACCTAGATGGAAGGTAACGTCCAGGGGTGGAAAACAGGTCGGATGCTATGATACGTGGACGCCCTCGATCTACGAGGTCTTTCATCACGGCTACCAGGCATAACCATCAAGAAGAAAGTCTTCACTACAGAGTAACTTAGAATTCTATGCCTCGATGTGCAGGACCAATGAATTGATAAGACTCGAGTTTAGAGGTGCGTTCCGTGAATGGTGCAGGTAAGGTAGGCAGACCGGCACTGTTCCCAGTCCTCCAGTCCTCCGTAAGGAGTGCGGACCGATTAAGGGCTCGTACGGTCGGTACCTAGGTAAAGTACCTCAGGGTCTGCTGCTGCCTTCACCATCCGTATTTTCTCGCCTTAGCACCTTAGGTACCTAGGGTAGGTAGGTAGGCAGACATGATCGTACGTCAGTGGCGTAGGTAGGGGACACAACGGACGATTCCACTGTAGGTACCTAGGTAATGGAAGGTAAAATAAGGTAGCTGTGGTACCTACCTAAAGTCCTACCTAAATACGCCAAGGTATCCGTAACCTGCAGTCCCTTTACTGGCGATGCAAACTCTCGATGCGTTCCCTTTCCCCCAACTGCACCATCGATCGACTTCATTCTTCATCTTGACTGATTCAATTCAATGAGCGGCCTCCTCTCTGCGAGATTCGCCGGTCGGCGCCTGGCTTGGCCCGTCGGCACTGGTGTCTGCATCGGCTACTCGTTGCTTTGCCGACAGACGCCTGGTAACTTTGCCTCTCATCTCACCTCGACCGCGCCAACCCCCAATCGCGTGCAACATAGTCGTTCTTTTGGGAACATCAACCCGGAATCTATGAGGCAGCTTTCGCGCGGCAGCATATATGGTACGAGGATATCACGACCCCAGAGCAGGTCTCCCTGGATTGACCTGAGTCATTAATGTTGCCACAGGTTTTGGGGCTGGACTTCTCGTCGGTTTCCTATCGCACACTCTGGTTCTACTTACCGGCCTAGCCCTGTTTACATTTTACGTACTTTCTGCAGCCCCCAGAGCAACTCACTCGTTGGGTCATCATTCTTCGGTTAGCGTGCTAATGATCGTACTCGCAGCTCGCGCATCGATACGGCTTGGACCTGCCGCAGCTTCTCGGATTGAAAACCCGTCTAAACGAGGCCGTTCTGACGAAGCCTTTCCATAATGCTATATTCCGACTATCTTTTGCCGCCACCTTTACCCTCGCCGCCTTCGTCCGCTTCTGAAGCTGGTAGCCTCAGAAAGGCTGCGTCTCCCGCGTTAGCCACGCTAGGGTCAAGGGGTCGTTCTGGAAATAGTCCTTCGTTTTTTCGAAGATGTCCGCGTTGTGCTTGTTAAGCCACGCCTTATCTTCCGCTGTCAAGAGACTTGGCTCAATCAAATTCTGGCAGTATGGGACCATAGTGACATGCTCGAACCCTAAGTAGGGCTTGTCGCCAAAAGAATGCTTTGTTTTGACTTCGGTCACCATGGCGACGTTCTCGATCCGAATGCCATATGATCCGTCTTCGTAAAATCCTGGCTCGATCGACACTACGTTGCCTGGTGCAAGAGCGACCTCAGCAAACTGGACTCTGGTGCCGATTCCGATGGGGCCCTCGTGTACATTGAGGTACGACCCAACGCCATGGCCGGTTCCATGGCGGTAGTCGAGACCTTCTCGCTGCGGCGCAAGGTCAAGTCAGTTACATATATGTGTAAGTCAAGGCTGTGGTAACTACTTACCCACAAGTGCTGGCGAGCTAAGCAGTCAAGCGCAAAGCCCGTAGTGCCCTTTGGAAATATCGCAGTGTCTAAAGCAATATTCCCCTTTAGCACCAAGGTGTAGGCCAGCTTCTCGGCTTCTGTGGGTTGTCCAAAGTGCAGTGTTCTCGTGGTGTCGGTGGTTCCGTCGAGGTACTGAGCCCCAGAGTCACACAGGTAAATGGAATTGGGGTCTATGGTGCTGCATGCCCCTCGCTCCGGCTTATAGTGGATCACAGCGGCACTGAGAAGAGGTTAGCAAGAGATACGAAGGTGCGTGTCACTTGGAGCCGCCCTGGTCCGGTAAAATGCTGTTCACCAGAGGCGAGAGCAGTCTATACTCACTTCGCGCCAGTCGAGGAAATGGTGTCGAATGAAAGGCCGACGTAATTTTTCTGCTTTGTGCGCAGCTGCTCGAGCTTGTCGCCCGCTTCGACTTCATCCAGCTTGGCTTTCTTTGCCACGAGCTGGTCTTCCAGCCAAGCAAAGTACTCAATTAAGGCAGCGCCATCGCGAATATGACAAGCCCTCATGCCGGCCATTTCATTCTTGTTCTTCACAGCCTTGGAGTCCCCGATAGGACTTCGCACTTCGTCAACTTGACCATCTCCGCCAAGGGATCGCTTCAATGCCCAAGATGCTTTGTTGGAAATCATGAACCTCTGAGCTGTGACCCCAGTCACTGGCTCAGCTGACTTGACCGTAGAACGCAGAGCGATTACAGCATCGAAAACGGCTTCGTAAGGCTTGATAACGACGTCATTATCTGCAAGGTAGGCCTGAGTCTCTTCTCCAAGCTTGGACTCGTCGACATACACGGTTGCTGAGTCGGGGGTAATGACGGCGTATGAGAAGAAGACGGGATTGTAAGGAATGTCGTCGCCGCGAAGATTGAAGAGCCAGGCAATCTCGTCGAGCATCGACACAACAAAGGCAGGTGAATTCTTCTTTTCCAGTTCTTGGCGCAGGTCCTTGAGCTTGCTCTTGACGTCCTTGCCACTAAATCTCTCGGGCAGCACCTTGACAAGGTTCTTGGGGCGAGCCGGACGGTCTGCAGCCCACACAAGGTCTACCAAGTTCTCATCCAAAGGTAGCAAATCAGAACCGCCGCATCTCTTGACCTTTTCGGCGAGCTTCTTGGCTATGGAACCCGTGATGAGTTCGGGGTCAACGCCGACGACCTTGCCGCCAGCAGATTGTTCGGCAGACCATTCTTGCCATGTAGGAACATCTTGGAGACCTTGCTTCAGCAGCAGCCAGTTTTGGTCAAGCTGCTTGGAAGCCTGGTTGAAGTATCTTCCGTCGGTAGCCAGCGCAGCCTTGTCCAAAGTGACGACAGCGCAGCCGGCAGAGCCACTGAAACCAGAGATGAATTCTCGGCGACCGTCGCAGCCAGCGATATATTCCGAGGCATGGGAGTCTTCGGAGGGGATGACTGCAAGTTGGAGAGTAGTGAATCAGTAACTGTGCTGCGACGACGCAACTGGGATGAAAATTGGCATGTTGTGATCCATACCGTAGACGTCGATCTTGCGCTCCTTCATCAGCTCCCTAAGCCTCGAGAGGCGGCCGGTAGTGTCAATCCGCTCCATATCGAGGATTGAAACTTGGTGCAACGCTCGACGTCCAAGGCCAGTAGAAGATGTGCGAAAAGCGACCGTTGGTATAGCGGGGGAGGGCCAGACGATGGCGCCGTTTGCAGGAAACTGGTAGCTAGTTCGGTAGACGAGACGAAAGGCACGAAAGGCAGAGCGAAAACTGGTCCAAAGCATGGGAGGGAGAGTGCTTGAGAAAACCAGAGTGGTGCGCGCGTGGTCAATTCCACTACGAGGCGGAGATCGAGGCAAAAGTAAATGGAATGAATACCTGATGTGGCTTGGACTGCGCTCGCGGCGGGGTGAGAGGGGTCCGCAACTTTGCGGGCAGCATCGGGACAAACAACTGGACGGTATCCGTGAAGTACCGTAGGTGACTAAAATACCACGGTACCTAGGCAAGGTGCCTTACCTAATTGCAGGTACCGTTAGATGTGAGCCCTGCATGATTGTGAGCGACTCCACGTCTGGAGAACGCTGCAGCTCAGGTTCCTCACGGTGAGTGGGCCTTGACGACAGGTACAAATGCACAGAAACCAGCGCTCCTTAAAACATGTATTGATGCGGGGCACAATCGAATGCGGAAGACTCAGGAGGGGCAGAGTTCCATTACTACCTCACCTCACCTTATCCGTATGAATACTGCGAACGATACCTTTTTGTGGACCTTTGGAAAAACGGACGAGCATGTATCTACTGTAGGCGTGTAATGGCGAGGTACCTCGATTATAGAGCACCTAATTACCTCAAGGTATGGTTCCTAGGTAATTACCTAAAGTAAGCGCAAACAGAGAATAGCCTCTGTCTCCCGTTCCTTACGTGGTTTCCCGGCATTACCTATGCGGAAGAGGGGGGGATTGAAACGCCGGCCAAATGCAATAATCACACGTATTGCAAGTAACTAATCTCTCAGTATAGGCCGTGATGTGACTAATATGCTAATTATATCTTATGTTTTGAGAGGGTATTTAGATATCTGGCTTGATACTCAGATGTTAGCCTTGTCATAGTGTTTAAGTGTGTTTATTATGGGTCAAGAATGAACAAAAGACAATAGAGAGTCAGGGAAAGTATCCGCACGGATATAGCGCTCGAATAAAATATACACACTAAGGTACTTATGAAGTGGCCCTCTGAGTATCGGTTAGTCAACTACGGCCACTAAAAGGGCCGGTGTTCTCAGGGGGGCCCTCCCGCGCAGGTGAATTCCGCCAGGGAGCTGGTTCCGTCCTCGACCCACACACAGTCACACTAAGGTACCTCGCATCAGGTACACTGCCTCACTGCCTACCTTACCCACATGCGACCTTGGACTCGTTCTTCTCTCTAATCGCATAAAATCGCAACTGGACTTCTGATCCCTAGGTATTATCATCGCAAGGGGATTCTCCCGAGAGGCGTCATTACTTTGTGACCTGTTCGCAGTGAAAGAGTTAGCGAGTCGAAGCAACATCAGTCCTCGACACTTATTGAACATTTCGGTTCTTCGTCAGTTTGATTTGCGTCTTTGAACCTCCCGTTCTTTGGTCTTTCAGGCGACCCACACTCCCATGTTCTCTGAGGTTTCTTGCGCTTCTCTTTGGGCTTTCGGCCTGCATTTATGTTTACCCAGAGCCTCAACTCCTGGCTGTACACACCATAATACTCGTTCTGACCTCGCACTCCATTTTGCGCCCGCCCCTCTCCTGTCGAAGCAAAACCTCATCCCGGAGAACGTATTTGGCACACCAAAATGAGAATAACAAATCTGACAGAACTTTGATTTCTTCATACTTTCTCGCAAACATGGAGCCCCAGCTGCCATCAACTGTCCAAGAGGCGGAAGCCGTAAGTCTCAGTGAGCCTCCTTTCTCAGCCGAACAGCAACGAATATGACAGCCGGGTCCTAGTTAGTCTTGGCACTCTACGAGCCGTCGCCTCCTGAGGCCATTGCGCGCATCCAAGAGACACTTCATCGCATGCAAAGATCCCCTTCCGGCTGGTGGATTGCCCGGGATCTTCTGGGCCACGCCGATGACAAGGTCAAGTTCTTCGGTGCCCTCACTCTGATTGTCAAGTTGAACACTGAAAGGTGGAGCCTTCCATTTTCGTATTTAATCAATAGAACGACTAATATCGAGAGTATAGCACCTCCCTGTCAAAGGACGATGCGTCCGAATTATTGCAAAACCTCATAGGCTGGTTTGTAAGGTCCTTGGACGACGGTTCCGGGGCCATGGTCGTTAGGAAGTTATCCTCGGCTTTGGTCACCTTTTTTCTATGCTTCCCCACCCAGTGGGAGTTTTGCCTCCGTCACCTCTGTTGTTCTCTGTCTGAGGGTGTTGCCTTGCCTCAAGACAGGGTCGATGAAACCATCGACTTGTCGAATGTCCTTCAAATACTCCAGCCTCGAAAACTTCAGGCCGCGCTATGGTTCTCAGGTGGACTGATTGACGAAGCAACGAAGGTGGAAATGAACTCGGCAAAACAGTGAGTGCCACAGTCTTCCGGGTTCTCGTCTGTTCACTAATGATGCGGTAGTATGGGTTTGTACGAGGGCCTCACTCGCAATGTTCCAGACGCCATGGTTCTCATGTCTCACGGGTTTGCCCAGCGAGGATCTGCGGACCCTATGAACCACGTCATACAGAAAGGCACCATAACTTGTTTGCAGGTAGGCAGTGGTCCCAGCCTTGCAGGTCAAATGCCTCATCTTTAGGGACCGGTCGCTCACTACACATCGTCTAGTCATGGGTTTGGTTCTCTCAGAGGGTATCGGCACACAACGACGAGCTCGTCTCCTCTCTTCGAACACTGGTACAGCCCACCATCACAGCTTTAGATGACGAAGAATTGTACGAAGTGGCCATGGAGTTACTCTTCGAGATACTGTCAAATTACTCGGGCTTTTTGACGGATGATCATTACGAGTCTCTCTTTTCTCTTTTCGAGACCCAGTGGTCTCATGAGCGATACCAACGTCTTGTCCAAGGGGATTTTGACTTTGATTCTGTCCAATTCGGGCATCTTATGATCGCTCTTGGTGATTCCAAGGTTGAGAATCTCATTCACAGCGTGGATGCTCGCTCATCGCGCTTTGTCGCACATCTTCGAGGGCTCCTTTCTGCTCAAGGATATCCTGTCAGCGAAGACAAGATCTTCGTTCCTGCTCTCGAGTTCTGGTCCACCTATGTTGAGACGTTAACAGACTGCATCTATTCGGAGGAAGAGGAGTCAAAAGTATGGGTTTCTACGGCTACCTCCCACGTCTTGGAAGCCATCTCGACTGTGTGGCAACGGATTGCATACCCACCTGCCAGTGTCCTTGTCGATTGGGACTCGGCTGACCGGGCCGGTTTTAGCGATGCAAGAAAGGATGTTGCTGACCTTCTTCAATCGACCTTTACCGTGACTGGTCCACCCTTAATCTCGACCTTCGCCAATCTGACTCTTCAGTCTTTGTCACCACATTCTTGGTCGGCCCTGGAGGCCGCAGCGTTTTGTCTCGGGTCTCTAGCCGATTGCGTAACTGGGGATGCCAGATGCGACGACAGTCTCAGAGCCGTATTCTCGTCGCCCCTGTTCGACCTTTTACAGACAGCGAGAGAATCCATGCCAGGCCGCACTCGTCAAACCTGCATATCCCTGATTGAACGATACTCTGACTACTTTGAGCGCGAGACTCAAAGCCTTCCAGCTGCTCTGAACTTGCTTTTCTCTGTCCTCGCTGATCCGTTACTAGCTGGGCCGGCCGCAAAATCCATTCAACAACTCTGTTCCTCATCGCGTTCAATCTTGGCATCGGAGGCAGGCGCATTCCTGAGTCAGTATCAAGGCATTGCCACGCAAACCCAAATGGACTGTGTGGCCGTGGAGCGAATCATGGGAGCCATTGCGGCTGTCATTCAAGCTGTACCAGACGACAACACAAGGTTCGAGCATCTTGATGTTTTGCTCTCCTTCATCCAGAAGGACGCTCGCATGTCGATGCATCTGGCTTCCTTACCTACACTCTCTGGCGATGCATCAGGCTGTGGGATGGACATTCATCGCTGCTCAACGCTGAACGAGCTGTCGGAACTCCCCACTCACATGGCTCTGAAGGCTTTGAGATGCCTTATCGGCGTTGGGAAAGGTCTACAGACTCCGGGTGACGTGCCCGTGGATCTGGACATTGAGAAAGACGTTGCAGCAACCGGCGAGAACTCCAGACTCGGCCATTTGCAGTCTGGGATTATGTCAATGATAGTGCAGCTTCACAGGGCATTTCCACGAAGCGATGAAGTTTCAGAGGGCATTTGCAACATTTTCCGATCAGGTTTTTCCGAGTCGGAGGCTGGACCCTTTGTTTTCCCTCCTAGACTGGTATGCGACTACCTCACTGAACAAACACCTCAAACCCCTCGAATCGGCTATTTCGTGAACACTGCTTGTTCCTTTCTCAGCTCGTTGAGGAATTTGAGGAGAGGCGATGTAGACGAAGTCAGGACAGAACTTCTCCGATGGGTCATCACTCTACTACAGCAACTGCCAGGTAAGGGCACGTTTATTGCGGTCATGAAGCAACACTGACAGAAGCAATGAAATAGAGCCCGACAACGACATTGAATTGGCTCAGAATGGCATTGAATTCACGAACCGCTTGATCTCGCGGGAGCCTGCTTCGCTTTTCCGTCCTGATTGCCTGCCGCTTACCGAATTTTTCTTCATCTACGCCTTGCGGATATTAGATGGGCGCGAACCACTACCTAAAGCCGCAGCTGCAGATTTCTGGGTTCGTCAACCTCCGCAAAACGATGTTATCTTCACCTGCGCTGACCAGGTCCAGGCAACATTCATAACTCTGAAGCCAACGGATGCGACGATAGATCACGCCATAGCCCAACTAGGCCCGTTGCTAGCCCAATCCATCATTCGTAACATCGGCGGAAATGCCTCTAGGAGCGAACTTGACAGGCTAAGTGAGCCCCTGAAAAAAATGGTCAGCAATCAAGCCAAAGCTCGCAGTTGGCTTGAGCAGGCTTTGTCTGACCCATCATTCCCTAGCCGGCAGCTAGCTGGGGATGAAAAGGCGGTGTTTCTCAAGAAGATCATCAAGTGAGTTTGACTATCTCAGTTTGACTGTCTACCGTGTCTATGTGGAGAGTACAAAGTTCGTCACTGACCATCTCCGACAGCCTCCGCGGCGCGAGGGGGACTAACCAAGTTGTGCGAGATTTTTGGCTAGCTGCGCGGGGCTCAAACTTTGCATATGCGTCTTGAGGAGCATATCCCCCTGAAATCGACGGGAGGATGCCTCAACAGCTCACCATCCCGCCTGCTACGCCCAGCGATGACTTCCATTCACGGTTAGTGAGCAAGGACGCGCTCCGTAGGAATGAGAAGTGATATTACAGTATATTACATATGCCTCACCGCCATGGCAGATTAGGAGGTGACACACCGGGCAGCTGTTGGGAATGATACGAAGACTTCATAATCCAGTGGCTTCTCTTACCAAGGCCATGGTTTCGTTGGCATTGACGCGGGCCTTGCAAGCCCCCTGTGCTTCAACAGCATCGAGGTATCTCCCCTCATCAACAGACAGAAGTTCTATGTAGCGCTCACGGATTCCGCCGAGTCCTTCGATGACAGCTTTTGAGACGGCCTGTTTGAGATCTTTGAGAGACGCATGAGAAAAAGATTCAGCGAGTTGAGCTGGGTTCCTGGCCTGGGCATCAAAAATGGAGAGGATTTCTAACAAGTTTGATACCCCCGGCCGATTAGACTGGTCATAAGAGACATTGTTAGACGAGTCTGTCAGTGCACTCATAATCTTGGTGTGGATCTCTTCAGGCGTGTCGGTGATGAGGATACGCGACCTCGGATCCCTAGCTGATTTTGACATCTTCTCGGTTGGCTGTTGCAGTGACATAACCCGACGTGTCGGGGCTACTTTTCGTTAGAAACTTGTGTTCTGGAGAACGGATGACGCCAAGACAAGTGACGAGACAACTCACACATGATGGTCTCGGGAGATACCAGGACAGGGCCGAAGTTGTGATTGAAGTTTGTTACACATTCGCGAGCGAATTCCAAGTGCTGTTTCTGATCATCGCCGACGGGTACATGAGTGGCCCTGGAGGAAATGTCAATCAAATGCACTGCTTCTGTTTCCCACAGTAGCTATTACTGGTGAAAAGCATGAAGCATTGAGAATGAAAGCCTAGCAAACCTACCGGTGGATGAGGATATCGGCAGCCTGCAAGACAGGATATGAGAATAGGCCGAGCTTCAGGGAGGCTTTCACGCCTTCATCGAAGACAGTGGCGTCGGTTGAGAGAGATAGTTTGCTCTACCAATAAATTTCTAGGATCAGTAAGTGGGTCTATTGGTCAAGCAATGGCGGAGGAACAGACCTTCCACTGTGTCATTCTTGACAAGTAGCCCATCGAGGCCGTACAGCTCAAGATCCACATAAGTTCAGAATGCGCCGGGACCTAACGTGTGAATTGTTAGTCTTTTCGAAGTCTCGCTCGCTCAAGCGGGTTTTTGTGTGTGTATAATGTGAGTGTGGATGAGAAAGACATAAGAAAGATGTAAGGAGGTTTGTTATTACATACAGATGATTGATAGAACAAGGCCGAGCGTTCGGGTTCGATACCTGCAGCCAACAAAGCCGCCAACGTTTCCCTCTTCCACTGCTTGAGTTGTTTTGCCTTTTGTGGCACGGTAATAGCGTGCAAGTCGACGACGGAGTAAATAAGCTTGCAACTTTCGGCTGGCTTGCCTTGGAGATGCACCCACTGTCGGATAGCACCGGCATAGTTGCCCAAGTGCGGCGTTCCTGTTGGCTGGATGCCCGAAAAGATGACCTTGTGATTCTCAGTCGACGAATTGCGGCGTCCGGCGGGAACGATGAGCCGGCAGACTGCCGGCCTGGAGTGCCGCCACATGAGAAATGGCCGTATCAATGCTGAGGAGAGAGACGTCTGATTTTGACGGTCAGTTGGGTAGTATCAATTATTTCAGCTGGTATGCTTACTTTGTGTTTTCGATGATGGAAAAGAGCTGAAAGCGTGGGAAGGTACGGTCGAGACCGTAGATGCCCATAAGCTTGGAAATTGCTGCAAGCTATGCCAGGTCACGTACATAAAGTTGCAAGTTCAGTATCGTTGGCGTATATGGAACTGGGGGTTGACTGATCCAGCGCTTGGGGCAGTGGACCCTCACATACCTTATTGCTCGTCGTGACATACTGCTATAGCGGGGCGTGGTGGACTGTACCTAGGCACATGGCGTGCAGGGTCAGCAGTATTCTTCGCAATGATGACTGAAAAGCAAACAGATCGAAGGCATGGAAGGCCATGTCAACCGTATCAAAGTAGGTAGTATGTATATCGCTGGAATCGTCATTCAACGAGAGCCATGTTGTATATTTGTTGGTTACAGAGGACACGCTCCCAGGGGGGGTGCCCTTTTCGTCTATTTAGTACAAAGACAGAGCCAGCCTTCCGTCACTTTCCGATTGCCTGGAATCGTCTCAAGCACTACACACCAGCTTACATGTTGATCCGTGGGTGGCACGGCATCTCAAAACTCACTATCCACCTTTCTCTTGGCCGCCTCTTCTTTCTTCCATTGGCTCTGGAGGAATCGCCGCTCACCCTCTGACCGCTTGCCACTGTCCGTATCGAATCGGACCGTGGCTAGAAACTCCTCCACTTTCTCAACTGTATCTAGCTTCCGCTTCTGACTTAAATGACTCCACTGTGAATCAATTGCCTCAGTGGCCTCTGGATCGATGGCATCCATGGTCTTGCCAATACCTAGAAAAAAATCGACACATTAACGGTTGTGCTGAAAGAGCAAGCATGGTCCTGCCCGCAAGATGCAGTTGTCGCCTACCGAGCTTCCCAAAGTCCCATACATTGGCCTTCATTCCAATGCCGTAATATGCGTGCTTCTGGAGGAAAGCCAGCCACAGCTGGACCGTCTCAGGGTTTCCATCGCGGATTTGAACGAGGCGACGCATCGTGATACGCTCGAAGTTCTCCTGCGACTTCTTGAAGATGAAACTACTCCGGGGAACCGTCCATCGTTCAGTGATTCGAGGCAATGGTACGGGGCCAAATGCCGGGAGCTTCAGATAGTACGCTGCGCGAAGGGCAAAGTCGGAAAAGAACTCGAGGTTCCTCAAGCTGTACGAGCGCAACTGAAGGTCGCATGAAGGGATTCCATACTCGGCTTCACGTCGCAATGGCTGGAGATAGAGGGCCTGGACGCTTCGAGGATATCTTGGTTCGTTCTCCTCGGTCTTTGCGAAGAAATGTCCCCTAATAAGTGACGATCATTAGCACAAGCACCATTCCTGGCCCAGGAGGAAGCGATATCCGTACACAGGGTCAGAATCACTGAAAGTCTGTCGTTTTCTCGCTGTTTTCAGGGTCCCCGAGCGCTGCGTCACTGAAGTTTGCGGCGTCTCTGTGTTGAGTGAACGAGTCCATGATGGTCTCACGGTGCCCTACATGGTAGAATTGAACAGTCAATAAGGGAACAGCTTTCGCCTCGTCCACACAACACCGACGTCGCGAGAACAGTACGAACAAACCTGTAAAGGTGACCGCGCCAGGCAGCGGGCGGTTGGCCGCCATATTCTCGGAGCGCGCATCTTCTTCGTACGCGTGACAAGGTAATTGAGCAGCGCAGTGGTTTGGCAGGCGAAAATGGTCGAGCACCTAAGGTATGAATCTCCACGGTAAAATCTCGAGGTCCCCGCAAAATATTCACATCTGAGGTCAGTTACCTGGACATTGTCCAAAAAAAGAAATTTACGCTTTATTGAATATCATTATTCTATGCATATATTGATGTATATAACCTCGCTCGACTCTGGAACTGTTGTCGCTGGGTTATTCAGATGTAGCACAGCACAGGACTCTCGGAGAATAGATGCATTTTAGTGGTTTGATTTGATACTAGGTAACTAAGCGTCTCTATCACAACTGGCTTTCGTTTATTTGTTATTTGCGTGACTAGCAATGAGCCACCGACTTTGGGTATCACGAAACTTCAAGACGCGAAAACGTCTGCGCGTGGCTGCGGATTTTGTCCCGCTACTGGCGGTTGCGCCGACGACGTTCAACCAATTTCTTGTAAAACGCCTTCTTGCCGCTCGCCTTCTTCGCCTGGATCGCTTCATATTTAGACCTGAACTTGCCAGAGAACTTTTCTGCGCTCAATAACTCGTCCACCAGTGTCTGCTTTCTCTCCTTACGCGTCAAGCGGGCGGTGTGGAATTCGGTCGGGCCTTCGATAATGCGTCCAACATGAGCGTAGCGAGGCATCTTGGCCTTGAGAGACTCCTTCTTGTAGTGCCGCTTGGAATCAATGGCAGTTCCTCTCATGTGAAGGATTTGGAGGTCTCGCTTCAACTCGGGATCATTGGGATCCGTCCTAGGCATACCAAACCAACCGGGGCCGGCATCATCTTTGGAAGTCTGTCTGTTGTTAGCGTACAGGTCCATCCAAGACTTGCAGGCAAAGCAGAGCATCGGGTAGAATCTCAGGTCAGAGTAACTATGAAATGAATGATCATTTTGGCGTGGCAGGTAACCCAAGACGGGTACCGTCACCACATCAAGAAAATAAAGCAGGGTTTGCTTCTCATCAGAGGAGAGTCGAGGGGTGATAAAGGGCGAGGAGTAAAATTGCGCGCGGCGCCGCAGCGTACCTTTTTCTCCGCTGGCCTAGGATCGCGAAGCATAATGCTTTCCGAGTCTTGTGCCTTGGGCTGCGTCTCTGAATCCAAATTTGGACCAACAGGCGCGGCCTTCATGGCAATCAAGGTGCAATCCTTGGGCCGCGATGGCTGCTTCGTCGCAAGGCGACTAGCCGCTTCTTTCAGGAGTTCATCGAGACGCCCATCGCACAGCTCCGGCATAGCGGTGAAGTGCGATAGAACCGTGGGAACTGAAGGGGAACTCAGCAGTGTGAGGAGAATAATCAAGTGAAGAAAGGTGGTCAGCGCGGCGATGATGCAGGAATTTTTTTTCTCTTTAAAGGTCTGGTGGGGCAGTGGAACTTGACACCGGTGGACAGGAGTTGAGGCGCGGAGGTGCGTATTAGGTAATGCACCAGATGTGCCCGGCTACCTTAATAGGTATCTGGTCGCACGCCCGCAGGGGGGGCCACGATATTGAAATCCATCGGTCACTACCGTACCTTAAGTGAATTGCGTGGGTGCATCTCCTGTTAGGTAAGCCTGTGTGGCCTGGAAAACAAGAGATCCGCCCACGCCGCACCTTACTTTGAAGAAGCAAAGCGCTGGTTCACAGTCACGTCATGTCCCGGGGTCAGATTCTCGATGCCCGTCTCATCCACGTCACCGACCACATGCAGCTCTTCGTCATCCTTGATTTGACCTTGAAGTAAATTATTTATCATGGCACCTTGGTGTCGAAGGGAAGCTTAACGACAAGACCACATTTTGGAATTTCGGGCGGTAAGGTTTCTCAAGGGCTACCTAATGTAATGGCGACGCTGGTGGATGCCCAACCGGCGGGTGAAAGAAAGAGTTCGGTGTGCACTACGTAGTACGTCAGAATCGGTCACAATCGAGGCAGCCGATAATCTGCCTACCTTGCCTTACCTGAAGTGCCTTACGGTACGAACTAAGGTACGGATATGCCGCCCAATAAGGCACATGAGCAGGTTCCAATCTTATAAGGTAATGAAGGGCACATAAGGTTCCAAGGTAACGTACGGAAAATGTCAGGTGCCTACCTAAGGTACCTAGGCACGCGGTTGACAAAAAAAAGGACACACCTTACCACTCTCACATGTGTTTTCCTATCTAGCTCTCTATTTTATAATATAATATTATATAAAAATTAAATAAATAAAATATTAAAAAATATTCTTATAACTTTTTAAATATAAAAATATAGTTTAGGAATTTTTTAATATTAATTTTAATTATATAAACTATAGAAATGTGGTCGTAGTGAGATGGCTATGTTAGGTGTGTCCTTTTTTCTGTCAACCGCGTGCTAGGTTGGGAATTCTGACCTTGCGGTCAGGCCTCAGCGTTCTGCACAGTGCCCCTGCGCCTTTGCGCCTTTGCGCCTTGTTGGGCCTGGGGTTATTAAATGTACCTACGTAGAAGATTTACGTACCCTCCGAGAAATCTGGCAGCGGGCCAGCGAAAGGTACCGCAGGGAACCTACCTTAGCCAGCCTCCTGAAATTCCATTGCCTTTATCCGTACCTAACCTAGGTAGGTACCTAACTGAAGCTGCCCAAGAGGGCGTTACATCAGTTCATCGATGGAGGTGAGTTCTTTGGCGTTCCCTGAGCAAATTTTATCCACCGATAAGATGACTGTCAAGCCCACTTCACTTCGCTGTGTGGCCGTCTCTATTCTACCTTCAATATTGTGGTTAGGTAGATAACCCGTATTGTATTCAAGCTCGCCTGTCGCAAACATCAACCAGTGTACCTAAGCCTATTGAGTTAAAATGAACCCAACTGGTTACTGATGTCCAGTCCTCTACCGGCCTACCTACCTACCTACCTTGACTCAGGATCGATTTAGCTTTGGTACTTCGAGACATCTCCAGAGGTAAGTACCAAACCCGACAGAGGCATCCCGCGGCTCCGAATCACAGTCCGACGGGAAAGGTACCTAAATACTTTGCCTTAAGGCATAATCTGACAGCACCCAGCTTTTGATCGCTCTCTGCTCGTCACTCCGCCATATTCCCTTAGGACCTCTCAATTGTCCAAGTTCGTGAGCCCGTGCATCACCGTTCCACTTGTGGACAACTAATTTGCTTCCTTCACCACGGCCCGACACGCGTGAGAACACTACTCGCAAGCCACAAGCAACGACGGACAATCCGACGAACCCCACACACATTTGAGTCGCGGATCTTGCTTTGCCCACCAATTTCACGCCTCTGTCAATTCCTGAAAGACCTTGGGTACCGTCAATCATCGAGGTATCTAGCTTGCACTCACGTCTGCGTTGCTCTCGCGACAGCTACCATGGACGCTCAAAACCAGCCTGGCTCCCATGCCCAGCAAGGTCGCCCCCAGCCTGTATACGATACGAGTCACGGCGGTCATTATGGTAAGCGGAAACACAAATCCCCTCCACTCCCCTCCCCGACCGCGTGCAAACGCGCGAAAGGAGCGCGCTCTCGACACGAGTTGCTTCTGTCCCTTTCGTCTCAACCCCGTCTCAATGCGGTTATACTGATATCTCTATCTACAACTTAGGCGCAAGTGCTGCGGTTCGTACTCCATCCTCCTTGCGGCTTACATACGACATCTACCTACAACCATTGCTATCCAATCAATGAGCCGTTTCTAATCACGTCCATAGCTCTCGGCTCAGGGCTTCGCCCCGGCCGAACTCTACACCGGCCCATGGGCAAATGTGCGGTTACACTCTCATCCCCAATCCTAGATTGATTCAGGGTTGACTGACGCACACTCTTCACCATTACAGGTTCATCAAGGCTTGACTGGCCAGTACAAGGACATCCTGACAACCTACTGGCAGCAGACTATTAATCATTTGGAGGGCGACAATCATGACTATAAACTACACCAACTACCCTTGGCGCGCATCAAGAAAGTTATGAAGGCTGACCCCGAGGTCAAAATGATATCCGCTGAAGCCCCCATCCTCTTCGCAAAGGGGTGCGATATCTTCATCACTGAGCTCACAATGCGTGCATGGATCCACGCTGAAGAGAACAAGCGGCGCACTTTGCAGCGATCTGACATTGCGTCTGCCCTCGCCAAGTCAGACATGTTTGATTTCCTAATAGACATAGTTCCCCGCGAAGAGGCTTCCTCTCATGCCAAGAGAACAGCCGGCCAGGCTGCTCCCACACCCCAAGGCGTCCCAGCTCAAGCAACCCCCCAAATGCCCGGCCAGCATGGCTCCATGCCACAAACAGCCAACCATTCGACATCCTCTCACCCCATGGCAGCCACTGACTACGGTCTTGCCGGCCATGCTCTCGGGCCCGACCAGGACTACCGCCAGAACCCCAATATGTACCCCGGCCAAGTACAGCCTGGTCCATCTGCCCCCTACGGTCAAGCCCAACAACCCATGTATGGCGAGATCGAGGGCATGTACGGCTATGGGACTATGCAACCACAGCAGGTAAGTGTTTGTCCATGACCATTGGTTTTCTACGCCACAAATAGGCTGACAAGCTTGACAGCCGCCCATGTCCAACGAGGAATTTGAGTAGATGACGGGTATGCGCAGCAGCCAATGTTTCTCGAATGGCTGTCTTGAGTTTGCCCATCACATTTGACGCGCGAGAGAGGAATAGTTGATATTTCGATTTGGATCTGGCGTAGCGGCGTTCAAGGCATTGTTAGCGACGAGAGTCATGATGACGGCTGCCAGTTAACTCTTCACGACGGGTTGCTCCTCTGGAGCTAAGCAGGGTGAGGAGAGGGAAAACCCCTATCCTGCATATGCGAGCCTAGTAACATCCAGCAGAGAATACAAATGGTCATTTGCTTCAATAAGACTCGGATCTGACGCGTATTGACATGTTCAGCCGTATTTTGCTTCATGCTCCAAATTATGCAGGATTTTCCTATGAGGCAGGCGGCTCTCACTTCATCATACCGAACCTGGATGAAAAGTTGGCAAGAGGAGCGCTGCGTGTGGGACCATGGGCATTTGAGGTGAGCCTGTTGAAATGTTAATGTTTGAATTGGGGTAGACCATGAGAATCTCGAGCCCTACTTTTCCAATAAGATGGGACCATTCAATGCGTCAACGCGACCAAATTTTTTATTGCGTATCGAGATATCAAAAAACTCGTCATGGTTGTCAGATTGCATCAGGTTGATTGTTTGTTGGAGTTCGTCCAGGTTCTCTCGTAGCATGGCTCCGTTTTCAAGACTGTCGACAAACTCTGTGAGATATTGGACGTCTTTGGCCAAGGCTGCCACCGCGTTGGTGTTGATATGCTTGACGTCAGGGGACAGTGGTAACGCCTAGCCAGCAGCACACATTAGTAACGAAGTCAACAAATTAAGGCTGAGCTGTGCGCCAAAAAGCTCACAAGAATTTTGTTGGCGGCATGACTGAGAGCATCAAAGTAGATGAGCTCCTTGATCTCTCTTGGCAAGCCTAGCAGCGTCGAGTTCATGATAGTCGAAAGATACCGGGTCATGGTCTGCATGTAGCTGCTTGGGTCAGGAGATGTCGTGGTGACCATCCTGTATTACCATTGTCAGCTGACGTCCAGAACGCGCAATCCCGGCAGTCGGAAACATTCTTATCACACTTACCAGTCATATTCAGCTGTATCCACTAGGTCATCAATTTTTGAGTTTACAAGTTCGAAAATACGCTTCTCGGCTGTCTTTTTGTTGTTTCGGAATTCTTCAGTTGCAATAAGCGTGACAGGGCCACCGGCGGATGTGGACGATCTTGCGCGGATGAGGAGCTGCTCAAGCTCCTGACATGCGGCTTCAAAATGCTCAAGATTAATAAGAATCTGCACAATCTGTCCGAGATATTGTGAGCTCAGCCTCTCGACGAGAGACTTGCAAACCTTCTCCGTCAGAAGCTCATCGAGCGACTGGGAGGGGGCGGAGTCAGCATATTTTCCTCAAGCTGAACCAATCATAACACCTGCCTTGCGAAGTGTGTCGTCGATAACATTGGGATGCTGGAAGTGGTCATCGGAGAAGAAGTAAAACTGGTTCAAAAAGTTTCGAATGTCTATGCAGCAAAGAGGGTACATCTGCGAGAATGGCAAAACGCAGGGGAAGCTGAGTGATTGTTAGATTAGTACTTGAGTGAGGACACAAAGACAAGCGCTTGCGTACCTGAGCTCCTCTAGCGATTTTTCTTGCGAAAACCAGCTAACATTGACCACCTTCTCATACTCTTCGCGAGTATTGATTGCCATAGGCATGTAGTCATCCGTTGACACAATCTAGGTTCCGTCAGCCATCACACACGATGCAAATGCGTGGAAAACTTCGTACCTCTTGAAAGTCTTCGCTGAAACGACGCTTCAAAAGCTCCGCATACTTATCAAACAAGGTAAGCAGGAAGTTGTCGAGCATAGATACAGAATAACCCCAGCCCTTTGAGAAATTGTGTGTCAGAAAATGTCTGTGGATGATAGACGAGATAGATCAGGATTGATTACCTCCATGGTTTGGATGAATAGAGCTATAACGCCTTTGATCTTGAGCAGTATCTCAGCGTTGCTGACTTCATTCAGGGCCTGGGAAGTCAGCGTGATAGCCGTGTGACACATGGAGTCCCATAGCTCATCCACCTAAGAAGATTTCAGCATCCACAGAAAGGGTACGCGGGGAGATGATCAGCATACATCAACTGCAGAGCGCAGGTTAGGGACACGCCTCATGGTAGCCTTCTCGATGATGGCGAAACCAGCGATGCCTTCGAGGAGACTGCTGAGGGACGACTCATCCTCTGCAACGAGGTTCACAGTGCTGGGCAGCAGCAAATCTTTCTGCTGGCGACGGGTTGTAGCATATTCAGCACGGAATTTTTCGCTTTGCCCCAGGGCATTATGGATATGGAGGCACTCGAATAATGGGGTGAAGTCAACTCGCAACTCCTCATTATCGAGCACGTCGAACTCCTCACTCTCGTCAAATACCAGCTCAATTGACGAATTGAGTCTAAAGTTGTTCAGGAAGCTGTCTCGTTCCACGCGTTCTCTCTGTCTCGCCCTTCTAAGTTCGGTATGATAGAACGCGACCTCACCGAGGAACTGCGAGGTCTCACGAATGCGGAACAGCCAGGTATTGAGGTCGGTCATAACGGCTTCGGAAATGATTTTCTGGGACGCCGGTATCGACTTTTGGATCACGTCGGCCAGTCTGTGCTGAGTGGCATATTTATTCTGGATTGTCGGGATCAGATGCTCATTCTGCAAGTCCTCGAGAGACTTGAGCGCTGCGTAGTACTTTTTGGTGCGAATCAGGTCGTGAGCATGATTGACAGCGTGGAGGATCTTGAGCGACTCTTTCAGAGCATCAGATGCGTCGGCGATATTCTGTCGAACAGCTCTCGTGTTGACCAGAGCTTGCTTCTGATCGGCAAGCTTCTCGGTGCTGGCCTGAATTGACTGATTTAATCTGAGGATCTCTGCTGTCAGAGTAACGGTGCCTTCGCGAACGTTCTGAAGTTGATTTACAGAACCCAGAAACTCCTCGTGTTTTGTCAGGCCTATCCTCTCGATGTCGGACTCTCTGTCTTCGGCATATCGCACGAGATTTTGCATAAGCGAAGGGGTTCGATTCGACTGCGAGGCATCTTTGAGGACTGGAATGAGCTGGTCGAGGAATTCCGTATCGGACGAGGTGATGATAATCTAGGGTGACTTCGAATTAGCTCGGAAGACAAATATTTCTGGTCGGATTCAAGGCTAAGGCACAACCTGCTGGACGGCTGCGCCGTAATCATCGTAGGTCTGGGGGCGCCGAGGCATCTTATTCCATGCCTCGGGCGAAGCGCGGTCTCGTTAGCGTCTTGACTAGGTGTGGGACAGGATTCGCTTGGTCAGTGGGCGTTGGCGATTCAACTTGAAGAAACAGCTTCGTGCTGTCGTCTGGGGCCTGGGTTTTACTAGATGCCTAGTTGAAGAAAAATCGGTCAGCCATGTGGAAAATGACGCGAAGAAGGGACGATAGGGAATATGCTTGTGTTACCTAAGGTAGTTAAGCTCCGCACGGCGATTAGAGATATCGGAGTCGTGCACACATACTATGTACAGGCGTGATGAGGCTCTTCGGTGGACCTGGCTTGGTCAGCGCCGCTAATGCAGGTGCTCGCATGGGAAATACCCTGGCAGCACCACATTGACGTGAGTGGCCTTCCATCCCGGGGCCGTGCCTTCCGCAATGACCTTAACCTGGCTCTGCGGGGTGGGTGGATCACGTCCCTGACAACGCACCTCCAACTTCACACAAGGGGCAGCGGTTACCTCGAGATCATCACGAGCAAATATTGAACTACCTTAAGGTCTCATACCCTGCCAGTCTGTCCACATGGATCCCGCCGATATCTATGCTATTTATTTTAGGAGCGAAAGTGTCAGCCCGCTCACTTCCTTGGAGATATTTTTTTGGGCATGGTACATGCTGTCGAAAGAAGTTGACAATTATATTACAAACCTCGACTTACACCTCTTTTCTTCTCCTATGTCATGTGAGCACTGCTCTAAAGCGACTACCTCAAAACCAGCGCGCACGATGTAACTCGACTCAAGTAACTAAGTGAGCTCTCACCCGGGGTATGAGGTTGCGCAAATCAGGCAGGTAGGCGAAGTCTCTGGGCCTGGGGAGGAGGCCCACGCCATCTTAACAAGACGGGACTGGAAAGGAAAGTTGTTCACTGAATCGATTCGTCTGAGGTAGAAAAAAAAATCACCTAAGGTAGGTAGGTGCCTGCCCTGGGTAAGGTAGTGGTGGTTCTTGTGTCTTGAGACAGTCACTGGTTCCTTGTGGCAAAAGGAAGGAGTCCACGAACGTCAGGTGCCTTCCTGCCTCCCAGAATCTGACTACCTCATCCTCCGACAGCCATATGACTTCCTTCCTGCCGCTGCCACCTTACCGACAAAGGCTCTTTCCTCCACCACTTGCCCTGACGCGACCAACATGCTCACACGCTTCACTCGACACATTTAATCAACAAGGCCTCCGGTTCCTTGCACACCTCCATCACTCCAGCGTTCTTGATGCAGAGCTAATTCCTCATCTCAAACGTCCACCGTACCCTCATATTGTCCTGGAAATTTGTTGTCTTCCTCCCCCAAGGAGCAAACCATTAGGTGTCGTCGCCCTTTCTGTGTCCCGCAAAGGCACAACCACCTCGAGGCCAAGCGTGAGATTTCAAACATCTACCTGTCACCTTGTCACGCAATCCTGTCAACTCCATCTATCCATCACCCGAGTCTCCGTTCTTCGTTATTTCCTCTCTGTTGCTCAGGCAACAATAATTCATCGTGTTCCTTCCCTTTGTCGTCACATCTTGGGTTAAGGACCCGCCCCGACAAATTCAAGCGCTCGTTGAGGAGCATCACGACAGACGAGATGGCTCACAGCCAGGATAACGCCATGTTCCCCTCTTCTCCTCACTCCTCTGTTGCCGGCGCCGATTCGTTCAAGGGAACGCCGGACACAAGATTGACTGCCTTCTCCCCGGAGGAAAACTCGACGAGATCCTCACGTCTTCTCAAATCTCTGGTGCAGGCCTCGCCAGAAATCACCCCCTCGAGGTTCCCCTCCAATGCCTTTGGCAATATTATGTCCAGTGCCGACAAGGACCCTTTCATCACTGCAAACTCAAGCACTAGCCATCAAAAACTGTCGCCGACTGCCTCTACTTTCCAGCCCTTCTCTTCACCGCTCGAGAGAAACCCCGACTTCACCAATCTAGACCGCGACCGGCAGTCAGTTTCAGGTGTCTTTTCAGCTGGAAATAGAGATGTTGGTGAGCTGTCAGAGTGCCTCATCATCGGCTCGCAAAACCGAAATATCGGCATCACTGATCTGAATGCCTGTCTCATGGTCAGTATTCAGCCTCGCGTCACGCAACTCTTGACTAATAGCGAAGTAGAAGCTCCAGCGACTAGGTCTCTCGGTTCAGGAGCCGAGACAGATTTGGCACAGAGGAGGACGGATCTCTGTCCTATTCAGCGATATCCGCGATGCCGTTCTGGTTCACGATAACGTCTATCGAGTCGAGGCTGACTTTGAAGTCAGCTATCTTTCAGATGGTGACCTTTCAGAGGTGTGTCTAGTCGGGTCCCTAAACGAAGCTTTACCTCTGATATCCAATGAGCTTGCCATCAGAAGCCGAGTCAGGTCAGGGGCTTGGATCGCCGCTGTTGCCCTGGCGGTTCCCCCCTGTTCGCTCGATTTGATCCGCACCGAAGCAACTCTCAAGCGCATTCTACATACGCGAGGCCAGCTCTCCGCATACCATACCCAGCAGAATCATGACCCTTCAGTCTATAGAGCCATCATCCACTTCACTGACCAGACCGACGCTGCCACAGCAGTGATTGTTTTGAATAACACAATTGTCGAGGTAAGTTCACTGGGCGTTGCCATTCTACGCAGGAAAACCCTCGGACATGCTAATGGATTTCCAAGGGAATCCATATCACCCTATCGCTTATGGATGGAGGCGAAGTTCCTCAGGTGGTTCAAGATCCCCAGGACGGTCCTAAAGATGGTCACAGCCCTTCCATGCCTGGCCACGATCTGACAAACGCCTTTCATGCCCTATCCCTATCCAAGCAAGCTAGCCAGGTGCCCCTCATGCCTCAAGGAGCGCCCGTGCCTGTGCCCGGCTCACCGTACCCCCCCCTCGGTATCCAGGTTTCACCATTGGCGATGTGGCCCATTCTATGCCAGCCACAACTTCAGCCGAGCACAGCATACGTCCTGAATGGTGGTCATCGCCTCTCGGCGCCCCAGGCTGTACCGAAATCGGCGGGGTATCAGCTTACGAACCATATTTTCTCGCAGTCTTCCCAGGGCATGTCGATGATGGGATCAATGTCATCCGGCGCAAGGGCTGAGCCTCGGAGGCAGAATGCAGCTCGAGTCAACAGATCACCCTACTACAATGTCGCTAGTCACCACAACCATGTTGATGTCCACCGCATCCGTGAAGGAACAGATGTGCGCACCACAGTGAGTAATATGTCCCTGTCTCTAGACGCCCAGGCTGACTGAAATCAGATAATGCTTCGCAACATCCCGAACAAAGTAGACCAAGCAATGCTCAAGCGGATTGTTGACGAATCTAGTTGGGGCAAGTATGACTTCATGTATCTCCGAATTGATTTCGCGAATGATTGCAAGTATGTGCTACCGCCGGCTTCAAACCTCGTTATGCATATAGGCACTAACATCTGAGGATTGTCCCAGTGTCGGATACGCTTTCATCAATTTTGTGGACGTAAGTAAGGACCCGGGACTTTGTAACTTGTTGCTAACATCGCTTGGTAGCCGTTGGACATCATCGATGTGGGTAAGCTGTAGTCTTAAGTGTATGGCAGTGCTGATGTTCGGAATTCAGTTTGTCAATACCAGAGGCAACCAGAGATGGTACGTTGAATGCAATGCCGAAGTCAGACAATAACGCGCCAATTAACAAAGACACAGGAACTGTTTCAAAAGCGACAAGGTTGCCGAGATTTCCTATGCCAGTGAGTGCCGTGAGATGGAAAAGGTGTCAGATATGCTGGCTGACATGTTTTCCCAAAGCCATCCAGGGCAAGGATTGTCTTGTTCAAAAGTTCAGAAACAGCTCTGTGATGCTCGAAGCAGCACACTATCGTCCCAAGGTCATTAAGCTCGCATGCGCTGGAGGGAGTAGAGAGAGTACTGACCAGAGCGTAGCTGTTCTATACCTCCAATGGACCGGTTCCAGAGCTCGCGGGAGAGGAGGAATCTTTTCCAGAGCCAGACAACCAGTCCAAGATGAAGCGAAGCTGCGAAAACGCAGAACACGTCGGTACGGCGGGATCACCAGTTGCTTGCGGGGCCATGCTAACAGAAACCTCACAGGTCTTTTCACGCCCAACGCTGGGCAGCATTTCCGTGACGAGCAACGTCGTAGACGCTCGCAGTACGACCGAGGTACAAGACTAGCGGCCCTCGAAGAACATGACTTCGAAGCGTCTATGCAGCCACACATGTATCATGCGTAGTAGATGGCGGAATTTCGACAGCACTTCCAAGGGATAATGAAGGTTGAATGAAGCAACTGGCATCACAATACTACTGTGGGGAATCGAGACACTAAAGTTCTGCCCACAAACATAGGGCTCCAACTTTGATTGTTATATATACTGGAGCTTTCTGGAAGCGTCATGAACGTGTAATCATTAGTACCAAGCTATACTTTGCTAAGATATCATGGCTGTATAAATCATCGGAGAGGTCAGGCTGGTGAGCTAGCTGTGCCACTAAGCTGTGTCTCAATCTCAAGTCTTCGACGAAGTGTCATGTTTGCCACGATGCGGCGAACGCCACGCCAGCCAGGGCGATTGACAGGACGCATTTTTCAACTGGCAGTGCGACGAAGACGACGAAAGAAAGTCAAGAGCTGCAGTCAAAGTCTACTCCAATTCGGTATCTGGTAGGGCTTCGTAGTCCCGTTGTGATCAAGACACTCACTCCGGTAAAGCTGGGAGCGGTTTGCGAACCGCGGATGGGATGATCCCAAGAGATTGAGTCGGTAAACGAGCATCAGCTTCGCTCTCTAGTGCTGAATCCAGAAGGACTCCGGTCGATTGGAATGGAGTTTGGACAGAAGACCCGCGATCATGTTGCGTCGCATTATTTGATGTTGGATTTATCTTCTGCAGGGGACAATGCTCGCTAAATCCCAACGATGAGCCGTGGCAATTACCACCATGGTCATTCTTGACAAAGTTATCAGCTGGGTGCGTTTGCGGCTCCATGTCCACATCCGAGCCACGTTGGATGTTCTCTGGGGTGCGGCAACTATATCCACCCTCCGATGCCGGGGTGAGCAGCCGTATGGGCGTGCCTGGCAAGTTTTGCAATGGACCGGGAACCTCCTCCAACAAACCTCTTTGGCCACGGTCTTCTCCGTCGAACGGCCGGCCAAACCTGTCATATGGGGAAGGGTACGCATTCGGAGCAGCAGGCTCCGCCGGAATGCCGGGTCCGGGATGATTAGCGTTCGAAGTTCGACCAAGATCAAAGGAGCCAGTCAAGATAGGTTGTGTCATTGCTCGAGAGAAGATGACGAGAATGAGGCATGACAATAAGAGAATTGCCTGGACTATAGCCATTCTTTTCTGGAAAACAACTTCGTCAGCAAGAATATTGAGGCGAGAGCTGAGTGCGACAGTCTCCCTCTGTGACTGCTCTCGCTGGCTTTCGAGCGCGATTACAGTGGATTGCCAGATCTGATCGTACTGCTGGCGAACGGTTCGCAGTTCCGAGAGTACGGTATTGTTGAGGCTATCCAGGAATACATCGATTCTAGACAATTGCTTCCTTTCCGCCAATTTCTGAATCTCTTGCAGATAGCGAGACTGGTCCTCGATATACTTGAGTGATAGTGAGACGTTGGACTCCAAGTACTGGAGACGCTTGCTCACAGCCTTGAAGAAACTCTCCTGGACAGTTGGGGATGTAGGCGCAGCCGTCGAATTGTTCTTGTTGCGGGATTGGGTGGTGGCCTGTGCTGTCTTGGTGGAAGACATGCCCAATGTTGTGGTGTCTCCTCCCCCTGGCTTTGGGTCGGAGTATGTACCGCTCTGGTGAGAACCTGCCGAAACAAATTTCGTCGATGAGGAGGTGGACCTTTCCTCCACCTGATTTGTTTGGTTTCCTGTGGCAAATGCCGAACCGTCCTCGGGGGTCCGCTTTGCAGAGTCTCCCGCTCGAAGTCGATCGTACGTGGACGGTTGATAGCCTTGCTTTGCATGATCTCCGGTCTGCATTTCTGGGTCTGGCGAGCTTGAGTCTGAAGGTGGCAATAGCATCAGAGGAGGGCATGTCGAAGTCTCCCAATCCAACAGCGAGAATATAAGGCGTGGCAAAAGCGGGTCTGCCGAGAAGTCAGATCTCGTGTCTGATGATGCTTCTCCCGGTGGTGCAAATGTTGTATTCTCTCCGATCTCGGCACTGGCGGCAGAGCTGGGCAACCCGCCTGCCGGCTCGTCCACCGCTTCTTCTTCTTCAGGCTGCGTCTCCTGGTCCTTCCATGACTCTAGCATTCGTGTGCCGTGCACGCGTAATAAGGAGACAGGACAATAGAATTCATTACCGTAGTGTGTCAGAAACTCTATCCTGACGTATTTGGCCCAGATCAGGGGGTTTTGTACGAGGAAGGGCTGGATATCCCGAGAATTCTTGGCCTCGAATGTGCCCAAGTCTTTCCACTTATCAACCTTGACAGGATACCTGTCGCTCACACTAATTCGAAAGTGCCGCACCATGCTGGAGAAGAACTCGAAGTTGGCCAGCACCACTGTGTCGACTAGAATGTCGTCACTAAGCTCAACGATAGCAAATTTGTTCCCCGCAGAGCACTCGAGTAGCATGTACGAGTCCTTGTTTTCAACCAAGATAGCCTTGGCATTCTTCGCCCCTTTATTGGTCTTAAGCACTGTTGCGCCCGCGTCGAAAGATGAATAAGAAAATCTCTCCTTGCACGTTTTTCCGGCATCCTTGCTCCGGTAGTATTGCGTCCTGCCATCGTCATAAAGTACAGGCTCTTGTTGTTGATCGGAACTTGCCACTTCTGTCGGAATCACTTCGGGTGCCGATGCGATGTTACTGATTTTTTCAGACACAACATCGAAGTTCAAGTCGATCTCCCCATCGTCAATGCCGAGACTGTCAAGGCCTGAGCTTTTGGTTGCTCTGTCATTCTCGGTGGCGCGCTCAAATGTTTTTCGGGACTTGAGTTCAGAGGGGTCTTGGCCGGCCTTGCGAAGCATCACCTCCTTCCATTCTTCGAAAGACATAAAAGGCTTCGGTGTGACTTCATCGTCGGCAGCGGTTTCCGTGGAAGATGGGCCCGTGTTGTCATTGCCTGGGCGATCGGAAATCGGGACGTCTGTGGCGGTTATCGTGGAATCTGCAGCGCTGGGTATAGTTTTCATGGAATTGTCGGGAGGCGGTCGTCCGCTGTCGTGATTTGGAGTTGGGCCATCACCAATACCCTTAACCCCCCCCGGCCAACTTGTTGTAAGGCACTGTTGTGGGAGCGTGTGGGTTATATAATTGATCGTCTTGAACTGGCAAAAGCCAATCTGCGTAGTGGCGTGTGAGGTGTCTATTGAACTTGTTACGTGGCTCGACGTTGAGATGCCGAATAAGGCCAAGATTGAAGTGGCGGCAAGTAGACGCTTGGCCATAGATTCCTGGCCACGAAGCCACATTTTGTCCCCGGGCCAGATTCGACGATGATAGAGATGTGTGTGATTGTAAGGAGTCGCTTATGATCTCAAGGAAAAGAGGCGGGGGGTAGGGATGTTAAATATTAAATGACCGTAATATTATATTAAATTTCAGTATAATTAATAATTATTAAACTAATAAAACAGTCAACTTTACTACATTTAATTAAATTAAATAACTTTACTTATTAACTAAAACTATTAATTAAATTAATATTTATTATACATTATTTATAATTAATTTGTTAAATATTTTTAATTACTATTTATATTTAATAAATTTTAAAAAAATAAGATAAAATATAAATAATTATTTTACTAAAATTTACTCTTAGTTTATTAATTAATTTACTTCTTATTTAATCAAATTATCAAAATTATAATTTATATTTTATACAATAAATTAAAATATAAAAATAAATAAATAATTTAAAATTTTATATATTTTAAATATTTTTTTTATTTTTAAAAATTATTATAATAAATTTTTTATATAATAATATATAATTAAAATAATATTTATTTAATTTAATAATATTATTAAATATTTAAATTAAAATATATAAAAAAATAAATATATTATAATTTAAAAATTTTAATTAAAACGTTAATAAAATTGTTATTTATTTTTTTAAATTTAATAGAATTTAATAAAATTAAAAATAAATTAGATAATTATTATTTAAAAATATAATAATTTATTTAATTTAAAATATAATAATATTATTTTTATTCTTTAAAATTTTTAATTTTTAAAATAAAAACTTATTAATATATATTTTATTAAATAATAAAATAATTTTATTACTAATTTTATAATATTTTAATTTTTAATATATTATTAATAATTAAATGCTATTATAATTTTAATTTTAATTTTATAAATATAATAAAAATTTAAATTATTAATTTATAATAATTATAATAAAATTATTTTTAATTATAAATTATAATTTTTTTCATTAATTCTTTTTAAATAATAAAATAATAATATATAAACTTTATTATATAAAAATAATTTATTTATTTTTATAATTTATTTTTAAAAAATAATTTAATATTTAAATATTATTAAAATTATATAACGTATATATATAACGAGTCGCCTATTATAGCGAGTCGCTTATTTTTAAATACCTTTTTATTATTTATATAAGTTAATTAAGCTATATTATACGAAATTAATTAAAACTATTTATTAGCCTCTTTTTTAAAAGTCTTTTAAATTATTTAATATATTCGTATATTATATTTAGTTTTTTTATAATTATTATATTACCGTTTGCACGATTTAACCTTTTTTATATAAGTATCTTTTTAATATATATTTTCGTTTTTAATATTAATAACCCCTTTTTTTATTCGGATTATTTTAGCCTTAGTAATATTAAATAAGTTTTTAAAACGTAGTTATATTTTTTTAGTTTTCCGGTGTTTATTTAATATTTTATTTATTATATAAAGCCCGTAGCATTTAGTTTTAATAAAAGCTAATTTATATATTAATTTATTAATATTTTTAGTTTATAAATTAATAATTTCGTATAAATATATTAGTAAGTTATATTAATAATTATAAATCCGTTTTTTAAATAAAATAAAGCTTTATACGGCGTTATATATTATAATTAGTATTTTTAAGTCCTAAGAGCTTTAGTTATTTAGGTATAAGTTAGATAATATTAGCGTTTTTAATTTAAAATTTAAACGAGAAATAATTATTTTTAAATTAAAAAGTATAATTTTAGCTTATTTAAAACCAGCTCGTACGTTTTTTTTACTTATTAAAATAAAAAAAGCTATTTTAAAAATAAAAAAGAAGTCGTTTTTAGTAATATATATAATTTATATCCGTATTATTTTTTTAATTTTTTTATTATACGAAGCCTTTAGTAAATTAAAATAATTAATATTAAAAGGTTAAAGTTTATATAATAAATATAAAAATATATAAAGAGCGATAATACTACGTTTTTTATAATAATTATTAAATTTAATTGATTTATAATTATTATAGTTATTAAGGATTAGGAGCCGTTTAATACCTTTTGTACGAGATTTTATATATTTTTTTAAAATATTTTAATTAATTTAAGTCGATTTTATTTATAATTTATTTATTTTTGTTAAAGTGGATATACTATTTGGGAAGGAATTGGCTATTAATATATTATAAGAAGAGGTAATATTTATTTTTTATAATAATATACGAAAATAACGCTTAGCTATTCGTATATATATTTTAAATAATAAAAATTTATTTTTAATTACTAAGCTATTTTATATAAAGCCTTTTATAATAATTAAAAGTTATAATAACTTTTACGTACGAAAGTATTTTTATTAAAAAGCCTATTTTATTAAAATTATAAATATTATAATTATATATTTTATATTTTGTAATTGTGTTTTATATGAAGGTAAATTAGGTTTAGATAATTATAAAATCCTTAATTAATACCTTTTAATAATTAATTCTATATTAAAAACGCGTTTTTAATTATAATTAACGTCGTATAAAGTTCTTTATTTATTGTAATCCGATATATATTATATTATATTTAGTAAAAAGATAATCGGTTATATTTTATATATTATTAAGTCGCGGTGGAAATTTTTAATTAATTAAATTAATAATTCGTTTAAGAATTACGGTTTTTTTTAAAAAAGTTATTTTTTTTAAATTTATATAAATTTTATATTAAAGTAATAAATTAGTACGTCGGTTGCGAAGTATTATTTTTAAAATATTATAAATAAAGGCTGCTTTTTATATAGATAAATTTAAGTTTTTTTTAATAGTTTAAAATATAAGGATAATACGACTTTTATTTAAAAAAAAATTTATAATTATATATAAAAAAAAATAGTTATTAAAATAAAAGGTATAAAAAGAAAGGAAAGTAGGCGACTCGTTATAATAAGCGACTCGCTATGTATATACGTTAAAGAAATTTTAATATTTATTTTATTATATATTTTTATATAATAAAAATAAAATAAAATATTTAAAACTTTTTTAAAAAAATTAAATAAATTCTTAATTTTAATTTTTAAATATATTATATAATATTTAAAATATTTTTTTAAAAAAAAAATAAAAAAAAATATAATTCTTTTATAATTTTTTTTAATAATTATATAAACAAATTATAATAAGTTAAAAATATAAAAACGTTATTTTTATAATTTAAATTTTTTTTAAAAAAATCCTTTTATAAATTAATTAAATAAATATATTATTTAAAAATATTTAGAAAATAAATTAATAAACGTATTTAAATAAATATTATTTTAGTTATATATAATTATATATTAAATTTTTTATGATATATTTTCTAATTATAAAGTTATTTCTAATTAAATTATATATATAATATATTTTTATAATGATAAAGCTATTTATAATTAAATTACGTAGATAAATCCTTTTTTTATTCTTTTTAAATAAATATAAAAATAATTAATAAAGAAAATAAATTAAATAAAAAGAACTTATTAAAAATAATAATCTTATTTTATTTTATAAGTTATAGCGTTATAATATACTTATATAAATACGTTATTATTATTATTATATATATTTATTAATAAGTAAATTATTATAAAGTTAGTTATTGAATTATTATTTAAATAAGTTTATAAATAATGAAAATACTTTTTTTATTACTTATCTTTTTATTAAATCTTTTTTTTTAAACTTTTTTATAAATTATTTTTATATATTTTTTAAATTACTTTTTAACTTTATATAATTCTTTTTAATATTAATAAATTATAATATAATAATTAAATATATATATATATATATATAAATATATATATATATATAATAACTAGTATTATCTTTATTAAGAAGTTTATTGCTAAATATACCTAGGCCGTTTACGCTACTAAAGCCAAGAAAGTTATTATTTATATTATTATTATTATTAAATATACCACTAACGCCGCCGCTAAGGCTATTATTAAAAAAGAAGCTAATAAGCTTATTAATAAAGGCCTTAAGGACTTTAAAAAAGAAGTAAAAAAAAAAAGTTATAAAACTTTAATAATCCCTTTACTACCAATTTTAAAAACGAAGAGTTTTTATATTAATAATTTAATTAATAAAAAATAAAAAAATATATTATAAAGCCGTTTTTAATAACATTATTTAAATAATTATTATTAAACTTAAGAAGTTTTTTTTTGAAAACTTTTTAAAATATTATTTTTAATATATTTAAATGGTTTATAAATAAAAAAAAGGTATTAATATTTATATTACTTTTATTAAAATAAATAAATCTTTCATTAAATTTAAAATTAAAACGGCCTTACCTCCGGTTATATTTAAAAATAAAATTAAAAATAAAGTTATTATAATAAAAAAATATATTAAAAAGGAGTTTAATATTTTAAATCTTATTCTTGATATTTTTTATTTTATTTTAATAAAATTTAATAAAAATATTAAAATATATTATATACGTTTTATTATTATAAAAAAGGCCTCCTATATTAAAAATAAATACGCTAAATATTTTTAAAATAGTTGTATTTATATTATTATTTTATTTAATATTTACTTTTTTATAATTTATTTAATAAGTTTTTTAGTTAATAACTTTTTTATTAATACTTATATAAGTTTTTAAAAATCTATTTTATAAGTTTTTAATTAATAATATTAAACTTTTATTTACGTTTATTTTACTATT